CCCCTGGCGCTCCCACTGCGCGCCGGCCGTTCCCTGCTCTGGCTGTGGCCGCGCGCCTCACAGCGCCGCTCCCAGTGCGGGCAGTCACTCCGCGCGACCCCATAGGTGCAGCTCGCCAGGCTCTGCCGTCCCTGGGATCCTCCGGGCCAAACAGGCGGCTGTTACTATTTGGCCTTAATTCTTGGGGTAAAAAATTGAACGTGTGTATTTAATTTAGAGACATAAACCAGTCCAGATGGATTGATTGTAGCCTACCATTTATTTTTCACTGTTGATCTTTTCTAGATTCATTATGTATACAGTTTCTGTTATACATAACTTTTAAATTACTTCTCCACATTATAAAGTTAAGGGGTAAAAAAATAATACTCAAATTTAAAGATTCTTAGGTTAAAAGTAGGTGAACATCTTATGGAAATATCTGTAAACACAGTAGTGGAATAAGTTTTTAAATTTGTTCTTGAATTTAGGAGTATTTTGAAGTAATCAGTGAGATGACGTTTGTTCTGAAAATATATTAGCGATTATATGTAATGTTCTGCATATTATTATAGGGTCATGTCTAAGCAAGTTTTACTTTTATTCTTTTCCTTTCTCTTCCTGTCTTATGTATATTATAGGCGTATTCAGGATGTGTATGTACACACATGTATCTCTCCGCATGTGCATGTTTGTCTTGTGAACATTATTACAGGTGTTGCTTCTCCCACTCAGCATCGTGCGGAGCACATGTTCTCCTGTTGTTAGACAGCTTAGGGGAGCCTGGATTCTCAATTGTGGCTGTACCATTGCTTCCTTTCCTCTTGCATATAATTGAGTGATGATCAGTTTCATTCATGCAGGTCTTTTTTTCGCTCTTAAATCTTATCTGTGGAATAAATTGCCAAGAGAAAGAGTCTTAGTAAAGAGGATGTGAATGGTTTTACAGCTCTTGAGATGTTTTTCCACAGTTTGTTCAGTAGAATTATGCTTTGGAATGCTATTAAGCCCTTGTGCTGGGAGCAGAGCTGAGAAAGACAGGGTCCCGCCCCCTAGGGCTCAGGTGAGCAGAGAGGGCGCGTGAACCCTCGCGTGAAGGCACACAGGGTGGACACCAAGTCCCCCCGAGTCTGAGGGAAGACCCCGGGTCCCCGGACAGTAGCAGCCTGACAGGGAGGCGGAGTGTGTGAAAATACGACTGGAAGTTCATATGCTTGCTTTTCTTTCTTGAGTATGATGTCTGTTTATCATTTCCAGAACATCTTTCTTGCCTCACTAGCTGATTTAATTTCTGCCAACTGGATGACACAGTAGAAGCAGCGCACGGATTGGGACAGACCATTTAACTTTCAGAGCTTTAGTTTCCTCACGTTAAGAGCATGAGTGATGCTTCCTTCCAAGCTTTAAGGGTTAGAAAAGGTGTATGTTATCTCCAGTCTTAATTCAGAACAGATATGAAATGGAAGAGCTGGTATGTTAGTAAAGTACTCAGCACAGCATCTGAGTCAGCACTGGTTTTCTGTTGGCCATTATCAAGCATGCTGCTTCGGACAGGCCCCTGCCCTCCCGTCAACACTGCTGAGTCTTCAGTGCCCTGGTCCCCCACCTCCGAGTCAAGCCTACGTCCTGACCTCCAGAGTCGAGCTCATGCCTCCCTCTTTACAGTGAGCAGTAGGTTAGCTCCTTTCCTTCCTTCAGCCCCTGTTTGTTGCCAGGCGCTGTGTCAGATACAGGGGATGCGAAGGTAGCTCCGAAGATGCCCTTGCCCTTGGGGTCTCACTCTCTCACCAGGGAGCCAGTGCCCATCCTGTGGCCAGCCAGTCTGTGCGGTGCTCACTAGCCTCGTCCAAGGAGCTGTGTAAAGATGCTGTTGCTCGTGGCCACGTCAGGATTCAGTCAGGATTCGGTGCACCTGTCACTGAATCTCTTGTACTCATCATTTCACAGTGCCGTGTGTCCAGGCTTAAACTCACACAGTGCGCTATGTTGTTGACGTCTCAGTAAAACTGAGAGAAAAGGAGGGTTTCGTGCTAGTGCAAGCAGCACTCTGCGGGGAGCTGTCCTCGCTCTGTAGGGAGAACGAGCTGGAAAGGGAGTCAGAGGGGGTGACACTCAGACCTGGAGCAGGACTTGCCTGCAGTGAGGAGGGTGGGGCGGGAAGCCGGGCGACAGGCGTGGGGACAGCGGAGCTCTGCCGCAGCTGCTCTGAAGGGAGTGTAGACGGGGGAGGGAAATGCAGGTTGTGAAGCTGGATTGCTGGGTGGAGCCAGCTAATAAAGAGCACTCCCCTTTTTAAGGAGCTTAGACTTTACTGTGTAGAAGATGAAGTCGATTTTATGGGAGCATGAGATGATGGCATCTCTGATTTGGAAACATAACTTAGTCCCCAGTTTATAACGTCTTCAGAAGTCATTCCACGTGGATTTAAGGTAATAAAAAAAAAAGTATAGTTTTTTTATATTCTTGGGGGGTGTGGAGCCTTTTGTAAACTTGGGAGAAATTACAGTCATAGAGGAGAACATTAAGATTGGCAGGTTTTACCAAGTAAATATTCAATATTTAGACCTTCTCTGCAATATAATATTCAGTTCAGTCAGTTTAGTCGCTCAGTCATGTCTGATTCTTTGCAACTCCATGGACAGCAGCACACCAGGCTTCCCTGTCCACCACCAACTCCCGGAGCTTACTCAAACTCATGTCCATTGAGTCAGTGATGCCATCCAACCATCTCATCCTCTCTCGTCCCCTTCTCCTCCTGCCTTCAGTCTTTCCCAGCATCAAAGTCTTTTCCAGTGAGTCAGTTCTTTGCATCAGATGGCCAAAGTATTGGAGTTTCAGCTTCAGCATCAGTCTTCCCAATGAATATTCAAGATTGATTTCCTTTAGGATTGACTGGTTTGATTTCCTTGCTGTCCAGGAGACTCTCAGGAGTCTTCTCCAACACCACAATTCAAAAGCATCAATTCTTTGGTGCTCTGCTTTCTTTATGGTCCAACTCTCACATCCATACATGACTACTAGATAAACTACAGCTTAGACTAGACCTTTGTCAGCAAAGTAATGTCTCTGCTTTTTAATATGCTGTCTAGGTTGGTCATAGCTTTTCTTCCAAGGAGTACTTGTCTTTTAATTTCATGGCTGCGGTCACCATCTGCAGTGGTTTTGGAGCCCCAAAAAAATAAAGTCCGTCACTGTTTCCATGTTTCCCCATCTGTTTGCCATGAAGTGATGGGACCAGATGCCGTGATCTTAGTTTTTGAATGTTGAGTTTTAACCCAACTTTTTCACTCTCCTCTTTCACTTTCTTCAAGAGACCCTTTAGTTCTTCTTCGCTTTCTGCCATAAGGGTGGTGTCATCTGAATATCTGAGGTTATTGATATTTCTGCTGGCAATCTTGATTCCAGCTTATGCTTCATCCAGTCCAGCGTTTCTCATGATGTACTCTGCATATAAGTTAAATAAGCAGAGTGATAATATTCATTCTTGACATACTCTTCCCAGTTTGAAACCAGCCTGTTGTTGCCATGTCTGGTTATAACTGTTGCTTCTGAATGTGCATACAGATTTCTCAGGAGGCAGATAAGGTGGTATGGTATTCCCATCTCTTGAAGAATTTTCCAGTTTGTTGTGATCCACATAGTCAAAGGCTTTAGCGTAGTCAGTGAAGCAGAAGTAGATGTTTTTCTGGAATTCTCTTGCTTTTTCTGTGATGCAACAGATGTTGGCAATTTTATCTCTGGTTCTTAATATGATATTACATTCCAAATAAAGTAGAAAGTCCAAAGATAAGCTGGAAAAAGGTATTTGATGATTAAATGACACCTAATAAATAATGAGCTCTTACAGATCAAGAAATACAGAAGGAAAGGTGACCATCTCACAGAGAAATGTAAGCCAGAGGTATGAGCTAGCAGTTTTCTGAGGGGAAAAATACAAATATTTGCTAAATGTATGGAAAGATGCCCATCCTCATTAATCAGAGAAATGTGCTGTCTGAACAGGGGAAGGTTTTTAACCTGCAGACTGGATAACAGATGATTAAAAGTGCATTATGTCTGATGTTGACCTAAAATGTGGGGAAACAGGCACCCTTGGCTACACTCTGGGGGGGGAGATGAAAGCTGCCCCACCCTTCTAGCGAGCAGATTCGTGGTTGTTTCTCAGAACTTCACGTGTGGTTGCCCTTGGGCCCAGCAGCCCGCAGTGAAAGTTGTCCCTGGAGAAATACAGGGTGGTGGTGTGTTTACGATGCCAAAGGGCAGGAGGCAGTGTGTGTGTCTACCTGGGGGGTGGGGGAGTACAGTTTTTGGTGAGAATACGTTCCAAATCATGGGCACTGTTTGGGGAGTAGGAGGGGACAGGGTGCTTTCGACTTTAGGAAGTTTGTAATGTTGGGAAATTTTAAGACCTTCCCCCCTGCCGCTGCCCCGATGTAACATTTCTGTATGAAACTACCCCTCTTGAAAGACAGCAGCAAAGGAAAGAGTAGCAGTCCTGTGATGGAGGCAGAGGATGCGGGGGAGCTGCAGCTGGTAAAAGCAGGGGCTTCTTTGCCTTGTTCGGGGTGAGAAGTGGTGGTGTCTGAGCTGGAATGAGCTGGAATGGAGGTGGGCAGACAAGGAGGCGAGACTCGAGGGCAGTTCAGGAGTGGAGTCTGTACACGGCTCCCTGTGGACGAGAGACAGCTTGCTCAGAGGTGATGCTGAAGTCTGCAGTCGTGTTGTTGAGTAAATGATCGTGACCTTCTCAAAACCAGGAAAAGCAGGACAAGGAGCCTCCTCTGAGTAGGAGATGGTGAGCGCCTTGCATGGAGATCCTCAGGGAGCATCTGAGTGATAAACTGGTTGGGTCACCTGAGCTCACCCCTGGCCTGTGTGTGCCGTGTATGCTCTTATCAAGGCTTGCTGTTCATGGCCTTTAGTCCTGCTCCCGTTTGTTAGGCAGTGTTAGTAACATTTAACAGTATAAAGGCAGCCGTCTCTCAGAGTGATTCTAACGGTCGTTCTTGGTCTGTCTCCAGAGCGCTCACCTGGCCATGATCGACACCCTCATGATGGCTTACACCGTGGAGATGGTCAGCGTGGAGAAGGTGGCCGCCTGCGCGCAGCAGTACTCGGCCTTCTTCCAGGCCACAGACCTGCCCTACGACATCGAGGACGCCGTCACGTACTGGATCAACAAGGTGGGTGCTCCCCTGGGTAGCAGCGGTCTTAGAACCATGGACACCATGCCTCCCTACTCTGCACTGAAAGTCTGTGCCCCCCGCAGAGTTGTATGTTGACCTCATGACCCCCAGTATGCTGGTGTTCGGAGGTCCTGAAGGCTAGCCCTCACGTGGGAGTAGGGTTGCTCTCTTCATGAGAGAGACCCCAGAGAGCCACCTTGCCCCTTCTGCGTGTGAGGAAGCGGGCTCGCCAGGCCCAGTCTGCTGGCACCTTGGACTTCCCAGCCTCCGGAATCCGATAAATGCATTTCCATTGCTCACAGGCCACCTGCCTCTGGCGTTCTTGTTGTAGCAGCCCGGTCGGACTCAGACAGACTCCACTACTCTTTTGTTTTAAGTCAAAGTACAAGTTAAAGTCACGCAGTCTTACTTAGCAGTTCCCATTCCCTTTAGACTTAAAAAAAAAACCCCAAAAATGGTTAAAATGGTGGAAACAGATTTTATGTATTCTGCAATATCTATCATTACATTTTATGGTTAACCTAGTTGATATCAGATTAGTACAAAATTCAGAGCACCCCCGAGTAGGGAATATACTCTGTGGGTGCTGCATAAATTTTTTTTGCATCCAGGAATGAAATAAGTTTTTCATATTGCCAATTAGACGATTTTTAGGTTTGCTTGAGTGACATGTGTAAGACCATAAATAAATAATGTAGTTAGAAAACCTTGTGCCGGAAAGCTGAGCCTTAGAGAAAGGAGAAGAAGCTGTCAGGTGGGAGACCCGAGTCCGGCTACAGGCCTCACTGGCCTCTCGTTGGCTTCCAGGCCTCCGCTGGGCCTCGAGAGTCGCTTGGATGAAGCCGTGGTTCTGCCGGTTCCGGGAAGCTGGGACCCTGGCCTCTGTGTAGACCACGAAGAGCTCGTGCTCTCAGTGGAAGCAAGCACATCGACCACGGTGGGCCTGAAGCAAGTTTTCAGCCCTGCCCACACCGGGATCCCTGGGGACCTCCTCAGAGCCGTCATCCCCCAAACCACGCATGGAGTAGGTTTCCTTCAGACCAGCAACCACGCTCAGAGATACCAACAAATCAGGTCCTGGCTTGTAAGTGGGGGATTCAGAGTCAGAGCCAGCTCATTTCTGCTTCTGCCGTCTCTCAGGAAGAGTGTTTTACACAGCTGAGTGAGTCGATGCTCTGAGATGTGGCATGCAGCAGCCTTACACACCAAAGCAAGTGTGTGTGCTGTTAATTCCTTGTAACGCCTCGGGTAGTCATGGATAGAGGAGACTGTTAATAACTGTTAACTAAGTTTATCATAAATTAAAATTCTTCAGTCCTTTTTTTTTAAGCACAGAACTGAATTTCAAGCAACAGAATTTTAAAAATTATTGATTTAGTTTACAATGGTTGATAACAGCATTCATATTTTCTAGATTGCCATTATTAGTTAATTTGAGCATTTATTTATTGTTGTTGGAATGACTCATCAGTAACTCAAAATCCAAAATTATCTAAACTATTCTCAAGAAATACTTGACAGATTGTTTCTTAGTCATCTTGAATTATAGGCTGTTTGAACAATCTGATAAGTTAGATCTTCTCCCTGAGAAGCTCCTATATACAGAAGTTTTTCATGTATTTTAACTGTGACCTGTGACCACACTAAACCCCACTCATGATCCAGGGACATGCCTAGGAAATCACAGGTTAAGAGTTTAATCCAAAAAAAGTGTTTTCCACTGATAATGAAAATATGAATTTTAAGGAAAATAGTTTTCACTTATTAATCCTAAAAGAGATTGTGAAAATTTTTACAGAAAAATAGTTGTATTGTTTCCTTAGCAAAAGGAGAAGAGGGCAGCAGAGGATGAGGTGGTTGAATGGCATCATTAATTCAGTGGACGTGAGTTGGAGCAAACTCCAGGAGATAGCGAAGGACAGGGAAGGCGGGTGTGCTGCAGTCCATGGGGTCGCAAAGGGTCAGGCATGACTGAGTGACTAAACTACAGCAAGCATCAAAACTGAAGGTATCAAGCACCTTTTTTCCAGCACTCTAGCTAGCTCCTGACATGTAGTAGGCACTCAGCAAGTGTTTGGTAAAGTAATGGGTTAAGTTTAGGGTTTCAAACAAAACATCTGTAAACACTGGAAAATACTTTTTTCTTGTTGGGAAAATGAGGTTCTGTTCATTTGAGTGGGCCTGGTATTTGACATCAGAGATCTGAACACAGGCGTTTTAAGGTAGGTGTTATTTTATTATATTTGACTATAAATTAAAATTAATATTTTTATATTTTAAGGTAAATGAACATTTGAAGGATATAATGGAACAAGAACAGAAATTGAAAGACCATCACACAGTGGAAACTCCAGGCGGTCAGAAGGTACATACATGTTCCTAAGGGGGAAAAAAGTGCCTTTATCAGAGCCTGTGTTCACATGTGTGTTCTGTTTGGGGAAATGTTCATAGTTGTGTTCATCAGATTATTTTTGGTGATCTTAACTGTACCCTAGGAAACCTTGCCATAAATGCCAGGTAAGTAGAAGTGCAGAATGAAGGTTAAAAACTGGGTGATGATGTTTAGGAAAGATTCTTAATGATTAGAGCTCAATTTCTGAGATTCTTTTGGCAAAAATAATGGTTCTGCCTTTGGTAGAGTTATGAAACAAGAAAACAATTTCCAATGTATCAACCGTATAGTGACTTGTAATAAGACCATCCTCTAAAATTATTCCAGGAATTGTAAGTTGTACACATGGTTATTCTGTGAAGGAAGAAGAAACACTGACGTGGATTTATTCTTTAAAAATTCTTGAACAGGCTTTTACAGGTTTCTTCTCTGAAGACTTATGTGTTTGTTGTATACTGAAACCTAAAGTGTATTTCCTGCAATATAGTATATCTTACACTTTCTAATATGTGTTATAGGGAGAGCCCTTGAAACTTACTGTCCAGCATTTCAGTTGAGGTATAAGAAGTTCTATTATTCAGAGACTTTATTTTCCATTTGGGTTATTTTGAGTATCTTAATTATTATGCAGCACTTCTCTTCATCTTGGACAAAGGCTGCTGGCTACTGATGCTCTGTAAGAGGAGGGGAAGGGAGAGCTGCTTTGTGTGTAAGCAGCCTTGCTAGGGAGGTTCTGCCCAAGACCAGCAGCTTTGCCTGAATTTGGTGTTGGGGTCACCTGACCCGCTCTCGCCCTCTTGCTCCTGCGGCTGACCTTTCACCAGTGGAGGTGGGCCCCACCCGCTGCCTTCCCCAGCCCTTTACTGCCCTTCGCCCTCTCCTGCACTCAGGAGTAGAAACCCTTGCCTTGGAGACGGATCTCCTCCTATCTGCTGTTTTGCCCCTAGCTCTGATCAGAAATCAGGTTCAGCAGCATCCTGAGTCAAGGGGCTTCCGAGGAGACCTTGTTTGTTACATACAGTGGCTCAGTTCTGTCGTGTTGCAACACATTATGAACTAAACAGGTTTTATATTTTACAGAGGATCCAGTAAACATTGTTTCTATGGGAAAATTTGCTGTTTGTGTTCCAGTCAGCTGTAGATGAAGTTGTTGTTCGGTCGCTAAGTCATGTCTGACTCTTTGTGACTCCATGAACTGCAGCACGCTGAGCTTTCCTGTCCTTCACTAACCTTTAAGAAAGACAAGCTGTATGGAACCCATACACAACTGGATCACCACTCTGACTTCACGGCACTTGGTCTCATGGAACTGTACATACACACTTCACAGCCAGGATTTGTTGAGCGAGTGAATGAATAAATTAGTGCGATTCACTTAAATATTTGGCTCAGTGCACATTTTTATTTAGCACGAACATAGCACTTGTGCCTTCATTTTCTTTCCTTCCCTTTCGTTTGTTGCGTTTAGTTTTTTACTGCGATGCAGCTGACTTACAGTGTCGCGTTAGATTCCGCTGCGCAGCAGTGGCCCCGCCACACACACGGACGCGCTTCTCTGTCATTTCCCGTTGTGGTTCATCCCAGGACCCTGAGCATCCAGTCCCCTGCACTGTGCAGCTCAGGCCTCTGTCTGTGAGCCTATTTCTGTTTCATAGACTGATTTGTGCCATGTGCTGGGTGCAGTGCCTTCATTTTCAAATGAATTTTATCCTTGTTCTCATTGTTGAGGTGTGTGGGGAGGTGTTCATGTCACGGCATCTCACTGCGCCGGACAGGCATCATGAGGAAACACGTGGCCACGCACGGAAGAGGCCGGCAAGTCTCGCTCTCTTACTGTCTATGGGTGTGTCAGCTTCCGAACCGTATGGCTAGAAATAGAATCACTGTATTCTTGATTTTCATTCTTGCAAAGCAAATTCCCCACCCTTTTCTCCTTTTAGGGAAGAGAGATCTAGTGGTTTGCTCTTTCTCCTCGCTGTGCCGTTGGTAAGAGGCCGCCGTGCCCTTTGCCCCCTCAGCTGGTGCTCTCAACTCAGAAGCCCAGGTGCCCCACCCTGGGGTCTGTCACTTCCCTCCTGTGGATGGAGCCTGGGGTGCTGCATGGGGACTGTCTGATCTCTTGTCCTGTCTAGCGATTCTCTGCTCAGATGTTCAATAGGATTCATTTTATGAAGCTTCTTTCTATATCTATCTTCTGGGTAAAATACACGCTCTGTTGAGGGATACTTGTACTGTATATTATTAGTGTTGGACCAAAATTAAAATTCCAAAGCCATTTCAGTAGATTATTAGACCATCATCTGACCATCTATTTCTAATTGTTGCACTGGGTGGTGCTTTAAGAGGGAGGCATTTTAAATAGTGTCCTAGGCAAATGTTCTGATTAAACAGGTTACTGATGTTATTTTCTTTATTTTCTTTCAAGTTTCTCTTTTGAAATAAACTGTATTGGGGAATAATTTTAGTTGACAGAGCAATCCCAAAGATAGTACAACTTTGTCCAGTTTCCCCCAGTATTAACATCTTATTATTATAATCATGGCCCTTTTGTCAACAACAGGAAAGTAACGTTGGTGCATTATTAATATTGACTAAACCACAGGCTTTTTTTAGATTCCACCGGTTTGTGTTCTGCCCAGGTGTTCTATCCAGCATCCCTGAATTGGGGTTTGTCTCCTGTGTCTTGTGATGAGATTTGCTGTATAGGCTTTCAGAGAAGAACATCACAGAGGTGGTTTCACACCTCATCTCTTTGCATCAGGGAGCACGTGACGTGAACACGGCTTGTCCCTGATGGTGTCCATGTGATCACTTGGTTCATTAAAGTCGCATCCTTCATTGTAAAGTTTCTGTTTCCCCCATCAGCACTGTCTTCTTTGAAAGTGGGTCACTCAGTCCAGCCCACGCTGCAGGAGAGAGAAGTTAAGCTCCCTCCCTGCAGGGTCAAGCACCTGCATCATTTGGAACTTTCCTCTAAGGGAGACTGTGTCCTGTCTACTTCCTTCCATCCTTCAGTCAGTTTTTGTAGCAATCTGGACTCTGTGTGTGTGTGTGTGTGTCTGTGTCTGTACTGGGGCTACAGTCCAGTCTGTGGTGTTCACTTGTTGCTCAGATTTCCCAGCTCCAGTCATTGGGAGCTGTGTCAGAGTTTTCTGGATTAGTAAAAAGTTCATGTACTGAATATTTTACAAGAAATACAGACTAACTCCTTTGCTCATCACCTGTTTTGAATAGTCCCTAGTAATTTCTATATAATGGATTCCTCTAGTATCAAACACAGGAAGACCCCCATTTTGACATGCTGTCAGTCTTTGGGACCCGGACAGTCCTCAGGGCCCCCTGCCCTGTCTGGTGCTTTTCTCGGCTGTTACAGGTGCAGCCGCCAGAGACTTTGGTTAAGTGAGAGGTTAAAACACATGTGACAGACCGTTACGATTACTCTTCTGATGCAGCAAGAAAACTTTATTGGAAATGTTATCTCTTTGTGGGAAGCTGATATTTTTCTGATTCTTAAGATGACTTTTTCAGATTTTTTTAAGTTCTTAAATGTATGTTATTTATGTTATTTTTCCAATTAGTCTTATTTTTACTGTTAATTTCTGTAAGAAAAACTTTCTGCATAAAAGTTTAGTACAAATTTTAACTCAGACCCCATTTAGTTTGGTTCATTTTAACAAATATTTATTTAGGGCTTCAAAAAAAAAAAAGACGGGTGCTAGGAAACATAAACAATCACAAATTATTCAATTATTTGAAATTGTGAGTTTATTATATTAATCTTCTTGAAGACATAAAATTATACTCTTTGAGACACCCCTGGATAGTAAAAATAATAACATTTATAGTCTCTTTGTGTTAGTAGCTACTTGCTTTAGAGACTCTATAAAAATATTGATAGGAATTGCCAACTGTTTTTCTTTCCCATTAATTGAAAGAAATTCTTTATATCATTAAGGGAAATTATCATCATGTTCAATTCTACATTACTGTTTGCTCTTATCCATACACTTATGGAACAGTCTTCTTTTCCTTTTGGGACAAAGACTTGGCTTCCTAATGTCTAAGAATTTCAGTGGTTGCAAGTCCAGCCCTGGAATCTTTCTACTCCCTCTTGTGTTATATATTTTATTTTTTAATATGATGTGTGATTCCAGAGCTGTGAAATAAAATTCTTTGCTGCCAAAGTATGCAGCAGGTCCAGGGTATCGTAAAAATGCATATCCATGTTGGGAGCGGAGTTGGGGGGAGAAGGTGGTAGTCTTTATCACTAGGAAACTATATTTTAAGCTAAATTTTCAAGTATTAACGGTTTAAAAGTGTTTTGAGGAAAAAAAAGTGTTTTGAGAACTGTAAACTTGGAGCTCCACTAACAGAAGCTTACTATAACTTGTTAATTTTAAAAAATGCTGATGTACTTTCCCTTTCACTTTCCCTTTTCTCCTGCTGCCTCCTTTGAAGTCTCCTTCCAAATGGTTTTGGAAACTGGTTCCTGTAAGTTTGCCCAGCTTCTTCAGCTCACTCTCCAGAGACGTCATCGTAGAGTGTCATTGTATTGTTTGTGTCATGCTGGTACAGTCATTTCATGCAATTCCATTAGTCACAAGTGGAGATTGGATTGTAAGGTCTTTGATCATAGTGCAGAATAGAAAGACCTAAAAAATCTAGCCAAAGTTTGGATTAGCAGCTTTAAAGATAATTTAAAGTGTAAACTGGTCTGTCAGTACTTGCAGACTTGCAGTAACCAGGTAAGAAGAAGGTGTGGGTATAGATGTGTACTGGTTTTAATAATGTCAGTAAAAGCGAGTATGAATTACACATGTAAATTATTTGTATTATAAAGTCATCTTTTTGAAAGAATCATTTCCTTTTGGCCTGACCTTTAGAAGATACTTTATGTGTAATAAAAAAAGCGACAGATTCTGTGTCCCTCTCATTACTGAATCTAAACTATTAACAGATTCAGTTCTTTTTTGACTTCAAGAGTTGATCTTTCTGGGTGAGCTCTGGGGGTTTGACCACTTAAATATTTTTCACCCTCAGAAACAGCCATGTAACTTAGAAGTCCACCACATGTTGAGAGATCGAAAATACATCCCTCTTAAATGCGAGATGTCTCGGTTTGTAGAAAGAGCAGTATGTTTCTAAAGCACCAAGCACATTCCAGAAGTTCTGGGAGAACCACACGACTTCAAGATTAAAAGTTGGTTTCCCTGATACGCCTTCTAGGCATAATCTTCAGGAAGATGTTGCGGCCGGCCACTTAGAAACCGTGGATTGTCTGTTCCAGACTGTAGCCCTCTGTGGCTGCAGCCTTGGGAAGCTGTGTGCATGTGCTCCTCGGGAGAGCACAGCAGGACACAGCACACAGCTCAGTTCTTTGCTCCGTGACCCTGGGCGCTCGGCTCAGCCCACTCCAGACCATGGGCCTGGAGATCCGGGAAGTCTGGCGCGGAGCCCAGCCACGTGAGAGCGTTTCCAGAGACTGCGTTCTGTCTCTCCCCGGCCCGGGGAAGTGGGGCTGGGGGTCGGGAAGCCAGAGGGGCGGCGGAAGGCGGGCGAGGCCCCGGGTGCCACTCCCCCGCTCCTCCTTTTCGTGCTTGAGTCCTGAACTGTCCGCCCGCAGCAAAATGAGGATGTTTACCGAGCATCACATAAGCACAAAAACCGACTCAAGAATTTCTGTGGTGCATGGATGCGATTTTTTCTGAATATAGGTGTGCTATACCATTAAATACAGATTCTAGTCCCTACTGATTGATTCCTAAGAACAGTCTCCTCTGAAATTCTTCACAAGGGAAAATGTTCCATGAATCTTGTTCTTGAGTAGCCAGTGAGGGTGATATAGGAATAAATATTTCCCCTTGAATGTGTGTGCTTCACCACCAAATAAATAGTAAATCTCTTTCAGTAAGTTATTTTTCTATTTTTATTCTCACCAGAATATTATATTTCATGATTATACTTTAATTATAAAATAGAGATGATTAGTTTAGATAGAAGAAAAATTAGTTTTGATTTCTTAAAAACCTGTATTCAAACATCAGTAACCACCATAATTATAAATTTTACTAATGAAATAGTTCAGTGTGCATTTTCATTAAGTCTTCAGCATGATTTTTCTTGGCTTGAGGAGAGCTAGTAGCTAAAGACAGCTGACCTCTGGTGACCGCTGACTGTGTGCCCGTGTACGCAACGCACTTGACGTTCATCATCTTAGTCCTCCATGTCCTGTGAAGTAGGCACTGTGATTATCCCCAGTTCACAGATAAGGAACCAAGAGATGAGCATTCAGGTAACCTGTCCAAAATCCCAGAGCTGAGAAGTGACAGCAGCAGGATTTGAGCCCAGGTATTCAGTTTGACTGACGAAGCTCCTTCTCGTAAACGCTCAGTTATAGAGCAGGTCTCATTTTTAGGGAGCTGTCTTACAAATTTGTATCAGCGCACCAGCCAGTCTTTAAAAAACAAGAGCTGCTGCTTTTCTGAGAGGGAGTGGAAACCATATACTTGCTCTGTTTTGGGTTAATGAAACCTCATCCAGGAGGGTTTTCTCAGTTTCAGAGTGGTTACACTTTATTTGCATTGTCTCAGTACTCAGATGAGAAGCCAGGATTTCTTTGTGGTCTGATTCCAGCTCCTCAGAGTGACGTTTCTTATCGCAAGGCCTCCTTTAGGAGTAGTTTCACACTCCTCTGGCTGTCCTTGACGCTGACGACGACTCAGTCTTTAAGCCCCAGTCTTGATCTTTTTATACAAGAGTGTGTGGTCTAAGTTAAGTCTAATGTTAAAGCAAATTTTGTCATCTGCAGAGCCACAGAACTGATAATTTGGACGTTTCAAATGTCCAAAATCCATTCTGTGATGCTTTTGTATTTAAATTCTTAGGCTAAGTGAATTCATATGAATGAGCCCCGTGGCGTTCGGTTAAGCGCTTAGCTTCAGAGCCGTGTGCTGTGGGCGAGGACAGGCCTAGTGGTGCTGGTCAGGAGAGAAGGTGTGGCTGAGAGCTGCCGTCTCTCCTGACTCACTCTCTATTACTGACACACTGGGGCCTACGGTACTGTGTCTTCCCTGTACGGTGATTAGTGCTTATTTCCATCTCTTTTTATATTGTAGGCTCGTTACAGGAAGGAGCAAACCTTGCTCAAGCAACTGCCTTGCATTCCGTTGGTAGAAAATTTATTGAAAGACGGCTCGGATGGCTGTGCGTTAGCTGCCCTTATTCATTTTTACTGTCCTGGTGTCGTCAGGTTAGAGGGTAAGTGTTCCATTGAAATATTTCTCAAGTGTGGATAGATGTAACAGATATTTAAGATGGTAATATCTAATAAGTAATGAAGGCTTTTTTAAAAGAAAAACATTTATATGTCATTCTAGGAGGGCAGTTAGTTGAGTAAAGGAGTGCTTGGTTTCTAAGTCTTTCTGTGTGGTGACTGCTACATTTATAGGGATGTGTGTGTGTGTGTGTGTGTGTGTGTGTGTGATCCGATTCTATGTAGTTTTGTGCTGGTATTAAGTTACTAATTATAAAATGAGTACAAACTATGTATTATCAAAATTAATCCTTGTTCTTTTCTTATTTGAAGACATTTGCTTGAAAGAAACCATGTCTTTGGCTGATAGCCTCTATAACCTGCAGCTGATCCAAGAATTTTGCCAAGAATATTTGAACCAGTGTTGCCATTTCACCCTGGAAGACATGCTCTACGCAGCTTCTTCCATAAAGGTACTCCCTTGGCCCCTTTAAGGTTGTTGGAAAAAACACACAGCCAGGTACAGAAACAGTCTAGCCTTGTTAAGCTTACAAAGTTAACTGTAATTTCAGTCAAAATAGTTTTGTTAGATTTTTCTGCTGATTTTGTTTTGTTTTAATGTACACTGTTAGCTACAGGTGTCTTTTTCAATACAAAGCGTTAATCTGTGGTCGTGCAGTTGTTAGCGAAGTGGAGAAGGAGCCGGCAAGTGTTTCTGGGCCCTCAGCAGGGCTGTGGGCTCTGGGAAGAAAGGGTCCTCCCATCCCAGAGCTTGAGGCACAACCTTGGGAAAGAAACGGGGAAGGAAATACTAAGGTTGTCTAGAAATGAACCTTTTAAGAAATAACTCCTGGCAATATCCTGGTGGCCCAGTGGTTCGGACTCTGTACTCCCATTGCAGGGGGTGTGGGTTCGACCCCTGGTCAGGGAGCTAGGATCCTGCGTGCCGCACAGTGCAGCCAACATATATATAAAATTTTTAGTAGATAAATAAAATTAAAAGTACTTCCTTTTATCAGCTGTACACGTGTCCCTTGCTTCAGGACTATATCACAGGGCCTCTTAGCTTCACACCATTGCTTAGTGCCCTTCTTCCAAGAGCTGTTTATTGAGCACCTCGCACTGTTCCGGGTGGTTTGGGTGAATCAGCAGACGATCAGAGATCCGTGTCCTTTCAGAGCTTACTTTGTAGTGAAGACAGACGCGTGTCTCAGGCGTGATGGCTTCTGAGCTGCGGGTTCCAGAGCTCGGTGGTGGGAGCGATGCCTTGCTGTTCCTGGCATCTACAGAATTCCTTCCTGCCTCCTGTGCCCTTGCCTGAAGTTCGTCACCTCTGTGTAATGTCTGAGAGGAGCGCTTTGTGTCAGGCTTGACGCCTGGCCATATTCGTGGCGCCCACCTCCCTAAAGGCTGCGGTGGGCCTCCCGCAGTGGCACTGCCGCCAGTGCGCTCTGCCCCTTTACCCTCGCCCCTTTCTCCTTTGCCACAGGGCAGGAGACACAGCCAGCCGTGCACTGCCCAGTGGCCAGAGCAGCACTCCCTCCCCGCTGCCCAGCACGTCGAAAGAGAGACCTTGATTGACTTTGAACGGTTACACCGTTTTTACCAAAATGGAAGTTGGGAGATATTTTCATATTTATCTTGTTCATGCTTTTTATGGTTCTTGCCTATTAAAAAGTTTAAATGCAACTACTATAATCTCAGGGGAAAAAATCATCTCATTAAATACATTGAATTGTAAGATTACATTTGCTTAAGTCGTAGACCTTGGACTTCCCATAAATAAAGTGTAACCCTGATGTTTAGATCAACTTACTCTGGCCATGATCCAGATATAAAGATATTTTCTTAAATGAGGCATTTTAAAAATAGTTACCTGCAGAGAAGACTGTCACTTTATCTATTTTGGTTCTCTGCTAAATTATTAGAACCACAGTTTTGTCTTCAAGTGAGTATTTTAAGACTCTGTGTCCTCAAGAAGTCGCTTGGCCCGTGGTGCTGGGGATCCCATCATGTGTTGACTTGAGCAACAAGTATTTGTGGGGACATGGGGAATGAGCCCTCTTTTCCCCCCACGCTGGATGCATACACTGGTGTGCCCTTTTTAGAGGGCACTTTGGTGGCATCTAACCAGACCAAAAGTGCACAGACGGCTGCGTTGGTGTTGTTCCTGGTGGGTCACAGTGGGGAACACTTCATCTTAGAAGGGACGTGATGGAAGTGTCCTGTAATGTAGTTGAGCTGTTTAAGGGAAGGAGGCAGAGAGCTTGCAAGAGTTATGAAGAGAAGCACTGGGGAGCACACATTATATTTAACATGATGTAATTTATATCTATTTTTAAAATGCTTTTTCTATCTGTATGTACATCTGCACATATATATAGATGCACAGGAAAAGGTCTGTAGAGAGAGAAACACAAAACTGTTAGCGGTGGTTTCTTCTTGACTGATGTGGACAAGAGGAATTTGTGGACTTTTACTTTTTATTCTGTGTATTTGTATTCTTTGATATTGTTTATATTGTTCAAGATTGTTAATGTAGAGCCGCATGACTTTCTTAACTAGAAGAAGAGCTTTTAAATGAAATTAATTTGGTTTCATTCCTAGAATATGGTGACAGATTTGTTGCTGTTTAATCTTCGCAGATTCAGAAAGGAATTCTCTTCATAAACTTCAGTTACTGGGGAAATCATTTCTTACTGTGCTGACACCTTGTGGCCAAACCCAGTACAGTTATGTTATTAGGACAGTTATCTGACCAGGGTGCCTAAAATAAAATTTTTCCAGCTTTATTGAGGTAAAATTGACACATTGTTGTTTAGTCGCTCAGTCATGTCCGACTCTTGCGACCTCATGGACAGTAGCCCACCAGGCCCCCCATCTGTGGGCTTTCCTAGGCAAAAATACTGGAGTGGGTGGCCATTTCCTTCTCCAGGGGATCTTTCCAACCCAGGGGTCAAATACGTGTCCCCTGCATTGGCAGGCGGATTCGTCACCACTGAGCCCCCAGGGAAGACATGAGTGTAGAAGTCTGAGGTGTTTAGTGTGTTGATTTGATGCACACACACTACAGAGTGATTGCTGCCATAGGCAGCTGACTCCCTCGTCACGTCGCATAATTATCACTTCTCTGTTGTGAGCATTTAAGGTCTACTTTCAGCAACTTTCAAATCTGTAATGCAGTGTCATTAACCATAGTCATTCGACCCCCAGGACCTATTCATTTTCTTATTTCACTCACTGCAGTGCCCTCAGGATCCATCTGTGTTTTTGCAAATGGCAGGATTCCCTTCTTTCCTCACGGCTAAGTAGTATTCCATTGTATATATATACCACATCTTTATCCACCCACCCGCTGTGGACACTCGGCTTGCTTCCATGTCTTAGCTGCAGTGAGCATGAATGTACAGATCTCTATTCAGGGTCCTGTTTTCATTTCCTTTGGGTTTGTACCCAGATAGGCCTGCTGGATTCTGTGGTAGCTCTGTTTTTAATTTTTCAGGAACCTCCATACTGCTCCATACTATTTTCCATAGTGCTTACACCATTTTACATCCCCACTGGTAATGCTCAAGGCTTCCCTTTTCTCCACACCCTCATCAGCACTTGATATCGCTTATTTTTTTGAGGATGGCAATTCTGACAGGTGTGAGGTGCTATCTCATTGTGGTTTTGATTTGCATTTTCCTGATGAGTAGTTTTGTTGAGCACCAAGTTCCTTAAATATTGATTAATTTCCTATAACAGACAGTTATGGAGCACTTAACAAGTGTTTTTTCAAAACATATACACAGCTTTCAGTTAATTGTACTAGCAGAGTAGAATCTAGTACTAGTACTTAAAATATAATTTTATACTTTGGCTTTAGAAAGTGTACTATGAGTTTAGTATAAAGAATAAATGTAAATCACAGCCATGTTACTGCCCAGAAATAATCCCTATTAGTGTTTGCCTGTGACTGGCCTTTTTTATTATGTGTTTACTTATTCATTTATATGTTCATTCAGTAAATATTTATTGGGCATTTGTTATGTGCCAGGCACTGCCTTGAACACTGAAGACAGAGTACTGAGCGTGGCGTTGTCCTTTTACGATAGAGCTGGCCGGGTAAGATGAGGAGGCCTGGAGAACATGGTAGTAGATGAGGCTGGGGAAATTGGAGAGGGCCCTGATCAAGTACCTACTTGTAACCTGTAGTCAGTCTTTCCCCAAGGGTGGGGAAAGTGGGGAAACGGCGCTGTATTTTGAGAAGTTTGACTTAATAAGTCAAAGAAAAGGGGATTGATTGCAGCCAAGCGGTGAAAACGTTTGAATCAAAGTGATTATGATGGAGACGGAGAGAAGTGGGTGGACTCACTGTTCAGGGCGCAGACTCTGCAGCCCTGAGGATGACTTGGTGTGGGATGGGAGAAAGAAGGGGGCATGGGGCAAATCCCGTTTCTGGTTTGTGCCCAGTGATGGCGGTTGTCGTTCAGGGAGATAAGGCTGGAACTGGATCAGGTGGGGAGGATGACTGGCGCAGGCAGAGAAACAGGAGGAGATGCTCGAAGGCCCCTGCATGTCTCAGAGCAGTCATGCGTCCCGGAGTTGCCTGATAGGGGCGTGGCAGTCTTCACAGAGGAGACAGGTCAAGAGTGTGGGTGCCACTGAGGGGTCAGGTATAAGGGAGACTACAGAATCTGTTTGATTCAGTACATAGTTGGCGACTTGAGCAGATGCGGTTTTGTGCCTGCGTGCTGTGTGGGAGTGGAATTTTTTTAGTTTTCTGGCCATACTGCATGGCATGCGGGATTTCAGTTCCCCAACCAGGGATCAAAGCCAAGTCCCCTGCATTGGAAGCACAGAGTCATAACCAGTGGACCACCAGGGGAGCCCCTGACCTTGTTTAAAAGCCAAGCAGGACAGGTTCAGCCTAGGGGGAAAGTGAATGCATCGGAGACAGAAATATAGTTGGGAATTAAAGCTGCTGAGGAGGTAACGCACAGCACAGCCCGTAGGGATTATAAGCGTTCTCACTGCTTTCTTTTTCTTTTTTTTTTTTAATGACAAATTTTGATGAGTGACTGATAGTTAAAGCTGTATTTCAATAGGTAACATGGAATAAAATTCTCCTTATTATCGCTTGGTGGTCAAGCTTTACCTGACTTTTCTCCTGACTTTCTTACCTCTTTTCAGAGTAACTACCTGGTGTTCATGGCCGAGCTCTTCTGGTGGTTCGAGGTCGTGAAGCCCTCCTTCGTCCAGCCCCGTGTCGCTTGTCCACATGGAGGTGAACAGTGTTCCATGAGCAGACAGAGTGGAGAGTTAAAATAACCTTGCCTGATGTTCTTTATAGGAGAGCCTGTGACTGTTTCATGTTCTAGCTGTTAGCCTGGATAAATTCTGAATATTTTAATGTTTAAAGCCATTAAATTCTCTCTGAGTGAGACATGCCTTAGGGGAGGAAAAGGAGGTGGCGAGAATAGCCCTGAATTCGAAGGCTTATGTTGTGGACTTCTCGCTTTAACTGTTTCCCTCTTTCTTCCCTTTGCTCCCATCCTTTTACTCCCATCCTTCGCTTTTGTTCCCTGTTAGAGTCTGAGTTTTTAACGTTGTTGGCCAGAGCTATTCAAATTATGGCTTGGTTCTCATCTGTAATCTGAATTTGCCGTTAAGCCATGAAAAGACTTGGGTGTATATATATCTATTTTCAAACCTAGTAAGTTCTGTGATTGTTACAGCATCACAGTCTATTGATTGCTCAAGAAATAAAGGGGTAAGTTACCATAAAGATCTCTGGAAATAATAGGAAAAAAAATACTTCTTACACTTCCTGTAAAGCAAACCAAATTTTCCACTGGCTTCCATGATGAAACCAGAGGTTTCTTTCTGTGGGGAAAGAACAAGTCCACCTTCAGGCCTGACCCCCAGGAGGACTTCCCCAGCGTGGCGGCGCTCCGTCTGCTGCCAGCGCTCCGCCCCACGCACAGTGTGACTGCTCTGCCTCCCCGCTGCCTGCCTGCTTTCCTTGCCGCCACAGTTTTGTATTTTCCCCTATTTCTCCCCATCCCCACCCGCTCCCCCCCAAAAAAAATCAAAGGAAAAAAAAGAGGAAAGAGAAGGAAGAAGTCTGTACTGGGGGGGCGGGTTGGGGGCGTGCTCTACCATTTCAGTGAGTAGGAACGGCATCCTTCAGCGTGCCCTCTGTGCCCGGGCCGCATTCTGTGGGACACGCAGTGACGGCTGTGAACTGCCCAGGGCACAGGCCTCACGTAATGCGGCAGGCCTGTGCACACGCCCAGCCCCTTGTGAAGGCCACTGGGGAAAGCCAGGGTCTTCAGTGGTGATCAAAACCAGTGTGCCTACCACTTCTTACTGTTAGCACAGTTTTCATGCACATTGCTTCCTGTGATCTCATCTGTGAAGCCCACTATTCAAAATATTCAACAGTTGTTATATTAGGTCTCAAAAGCAAAAAGCTAAATGAGAATTATTTGCAAAAACGTAAACTATAGCTGTGTTTTAGTTATTAACCAACAAGATTCTGTCTCTTTAACTGATTACCAAAACACCAACTATTTCGTGTATGTAAAAGTGACCATGTATAACAAGTTCTGTGAAAGCTTTTGCAAAATTGAATACGTGTTTATTTTTAATTATCTGTATTTATGTTAAGCCTTTTTTTCCTCCTATTTAGCCTTAATCAAGTGAATTTTATAGGCCAGAACACTTCCAAGAAGTGTTTAAAGAAGATTTGTCCTTTTGAAAAATTATTTAAGGAGAAAACTAAATATACTATGATTCTCTATAAGTAATAAGGAAAACTGATAGTAAACATTTACTTGCAGTTTGGAATCCTTGAAGCAGTGTTGGAAATGTGCTAACATTAATTCTGAGGTTTTTGTCTTTCCTGTAGCTGAGCCTGTGGAGGATCTGCCGTCAGTTCCTGTCTTGAATGCTGCCCAGCGAGATGCCCTGGAAAGCTCTGACCTCACGCCAGGGTGAGTCGGGATGGCCATCCCACTTAGGAGATGAAGGTTATTACTACATTACATGAGCATTTTTACATTTTCAGTTGGAACTTTGAGCTGAATAAGTTACAATTAACTTACCCTGTTAAAGCCTGTTTTTATGTCACTGTCATTGAGATTTACATGAACTGAATGTGCCAGGGTCCAGCCCCGACAGGATCCAGGGGAACCCTCAGGATGAACGGCATCGGCGAGAGAGAGACACGTAGGACCGGCCTTGATAGGGCCAAGTCTGCTAGGGCGAGAGAGAGAAAGAAAGAAAGAGACCAGACGAGGAATATGCAGCAGAGTCTGGCAGTTGCTTTATTTTTCACCATAGCCTTTATACCCTAAGTTGGTACATTTCTAAGGGGCAGATAAGCATACAGACTTAGTTTAACATTCCATCAGCTTGTCCTTCACGAAGCCAGGTGTGCTCTGTATATTTTGTTTATGAGAGTCTTTTCCCATAGATTTTTGTACATTATCTTCTGGCCTTGAGGTTAGCAGAAAACAGAAAATTGGCAATCTCATGGTACAGCAAGTTGTAACATAATAGAAATACAATCCTGTTAACATAAAAGACAGTCTTTTTGCAGAAATTCTCAGCTAAATTTATCTAAAAAGTTTAACACACAAAGACTCTGTGTCTCTGGTGAGGCAGCCCGTGTTTAGCACTCCTGGTTAAAATTAACAATTATCTTATTGTTATTACACTAGGGCTAAACTCTTATTTTACTATATCTTTAACTATATTAACAATAGTTTCCACTGCACAACCTCAGCACATTAACATCAATCAAATGTTGATCTAATAACAACTTTTAAAACAATATTTTTTGTATTCTCTAATAGGGCTTCCTCACCCCCCAAAGGGCTCTGTGCCTATTAGGGCCTTTTTTATGGTTAATCTCTATGTATAATATCTTTTGGCTTTTAGGCCTGTTGACAATTTATGGCTTGCACCTGGTGCAACTTTAAGCAACTTCAGTAGCCGACCCTGTCTTATTTGTGGTTAATCTATTTTCTTTCTATTAGGTGTCATCTCCAAGGGAACTAGATAGGATTACATTTTTTACAGAACAGAAATGCAAAGGATTTCAAAAACAGCAGATATGGCACAAAACAGGCTCTTAGTCTAAAAGTTAATTACCTGCAAAAAGTCGCCAGCTAATCTCTATCTAAACTATTTTCTATTAGGCACATTTGTGGCTATAATATTTGTGGAGCTTTTCTCACCCCGTGAAGGGGCCTATGCTTAATAGTTTCTTTTGTTAGCGTACTATGTTTAGGATGTTTAGAACAATCATGAGCATTTTGTGCAATGAGAGCACACATTTATCAAACAAGCCAGAATGCCAGCTAAAGGGTTTGAACTGAAGCATTTCCTTCATCCCTGGCCCCTTCATAGGGTACCAGCATCCAGGAGATTTATTAATTAGGGTTTTAAGTTGGTTCTCATTCAGTGAAAGAGGAGCAGGAGAGCTCTCGGCAGGCAACACAAGAATCCGCAGCAGGGCAAACAAGAACAACAGCAGAAAAAGCGGGGAGGATATAGGGTAGGGTAGAGGCCGAGGCCAACCTGGAGGGTCCCTTATCCTAGACGGCCTTGCCTGCCCGGTATTTTCTTCATGACCTCGTCACGGGCGGGACCTCCCATAATGGCTCCCGACATGAATGTTTCATAAATAGGCGTTTATGAGTCACACTGAAAAGTGGGAGAATATTATCCTAAGGTCCAAATAATCAGCCTAAAACTAAACTCTTGCTGCACACCTTGTTTATAATTGAGATCATATGAGGCTCAAATGATGGGTCACTCTTAGGCTTCAGGGGAAGATTTTTAAATCTTTGAGACAGTTTTCCCTGTTTGGTTTGCTAGTTACTGCAGCTATTGAGAGGTCACAATGGACTATTTATCGTACCATTGAATGTTAAACGCTTTAGTTCTTAATATCAGGAATTGAATTCAAAGCCAGGTAAACATTTAATATCAGGACAATCCTGACTTCTGACTCAAGTATGTGATACAGACATTAATTTGTTTCAAAATGTTTTTTAGCAGATCCTGTAAGCACCTTTAATGCATATTTTTTTAGAACCTAAAATGTGTATTGACTTTGGACTGCCTAATTTATTAATATATGATTTTTTTTTAAATTTAAAACTGAAGCACTTTGTGATTTTTTTTTTTTTTTAGAAATTCAAGCCGATCTATTTCAAATACATTTTTAAAATTATAAGTAATAAATTGAAAATAGTTTCTGCATGAATTCTTGGTTTAACCTGAAAATATGAACATGTACCAAAGCTGTCACCCCTCCTCACACCTGAGAAGTTTCTCTCTATTGTGTCCTGACCAGTGTGGACAGAACCCTCACGACCCTCTTACTGCCCTCATAGGGCTTCTCATTGCCATGAACTTCTGAGCCCTGTAAATATTTCCTGTGAATCAGGAAAGCTCTTTCTTCCCTTTGCCCTCGTATTTACTCCCATGGATTTTGTTACTTCCCTTAAGTTCCCTGTTTCGTATCCATCACTAAGGTTTACCACGAAGAGGTGAAGCTAGACTGCGAGGGGTCCAGGAACTTCTCTGTTGCGTCCCATGGGATACTTCTTTCTGCACGGTACTTCCTCAGTGCTTTCGTGGGTCGGTTATGTAGTGACATTCCCTGCCTTGAAATTTAGAAAACACTCAATATTCTAGGTCATATCTCTCGTCCTGTTAAATCTTTAAAACCTCCTAAACTTTCCACTTAAAGACTAGGTTATTCCACAGTTACTGTCTCTAGAAACTTGAGACGCAGGCCTCCACATCTCCGACAGTGCTTACCCTCGGGAGGGCTCGCCGCTCTGCCCCTCGGTGTCTGACCTCCACATCTCCGACAGTGCTTACCCTCGGGAGGGCTCGCCGCTCTGCCCCTCGGTGTCTGACCTCCACATCTCCGACAGTGCTTACCCTCGGGAGGGCTCGCCGCTCTGCCCCTCGGTGTCTGACCTCCACATCTCCGACAGTGCTTACCCTCGGGAGGGCTCGCCGCTCTGCCCCTCGGTGTCTGACCTCCACATCTCCGACAGTGCTTACCCTCGGGAGGGCTCGCCGCTCTGCCCCTCGGTGTCTGACCTCCACATCTCCGACAGTGCTTACCCTCGGGAGGGCTCGCCGCTCTGCCCCTCGGTGTCTGACCTCCACATCTCCGACAGTGCTTACCCTCGGGAGGGCTCGCCGCTCTGCCCCTCGGTGTCTGACCTCCACATCTCCGACAGTGCTTACCCTCGGGAGGGCTCGCCGCTCTGCCCCTCTGTGTCTGACCTCCACATCTCCGACAGTGTCTTACCCTCGGGAGGGCTCGCCGCTCTGCCCCTCGGTGTCTGACCTCCACATCTCCGACAGTGCTTACCCTCGGGAGGGCTCGCCGCTCTGCCCCTCGGTGTCTGACCTCCACATCTCCGACAGTGCTTACCCTCGGGAGGGCTCGCCGCTCTGCCCCTCGGTGTCTGACCTCCACATCTCCGACAGTGCTTACCCTCGGGAGGGCTCGCCGCTCTGCCCCTCGGTGTCTGACCTCCACATCTCCGACAGTGCTTACCCTCGGGAGGGCTCGCCGCTCTGCCCCTCGGTGTCTGACCTCCACATCTCCGACAGTGCTTACCCTCGGGAGGGCTCGCCGCTCTGCCCCTCGGTGTCTGACCTCCACATCTCCGACAGTGCTTACCCTCGGGAGGGCTCGCCGCTCTGCCCCTCGGTGTCTGACCTCCACATCTCCGACAGTGCTTACCCTCGGGAGGGCTCGCCGCTCTGCCCCTCGGTGTCTGACCTCCACATCTCCGACAGTGCTTACCCTCGGGAGGGCTCGCCGCTCTGCCCCTCGGTGTCTGACCTCCACATCTCCGACAGTGCTTACCCTCGGGAGGGCTCGCCGCTCTGCCCCTCGGTGTCTGACCTCCACATCTCCGACAGTGCTTACCCTCGGGAGGGCTCGCCGCTCTGCCCCTCGGTGTCTGACCTCCACATCTCCGACAGTGCTTACCCTCGGGAGGGCTCGCCGCTCTGCCCCTCGGTGTCTGACCTCCACATCTCCGACAGTGCTTACCCTCGGGAGGGCTCGCCGCTCTGCCCCTCGGTGTCTGACCTCCACATCTCCGACAGTGCTTACCCTCGGGAGGGCTCGCCGCTCTGCCCCTCGGTGTCTGACCTCCACATCTCCGACAGTGCTTACCCTCGGGAGGGCTCGCCGCTCTGCCCCTCGGTGTCTGACCTCCACATCTCCGACAGTGCTTACCCTCGGGAGGGCTCGCCGCTCTGCCCCTCGGTGTCTGACCTCCACATCTCCGACAGTGCTTACCCTCGGGAGGGCTCGCCGCTCTGCCCCTCGGTGTCTGACCTCCACATCTCCGACAGTGCTTACCCTCGGGAGGGCTCGCCGCTCTGCCCCTCGGTGTCTGACCTCCACATCTCCGACAGTGTCTTACCCTCGGGAGGGCTCGCCGCTCTGCCCCTCGGTGTCTGACCTCCACATCTCCGACAGTGTCTTACCCTCGGGAGGGCTCGCCGCTCTGCCCCTCGGTGTCTGACCTCCACATCTCCGACAGTGCTTACCCTCGGGAGGGCTCGCCGCTCTGCCCCTCGGTGTCTGACCTCCACATCTCCGACAGTGCTTACCCTCGGGAGGGCTCGCCGCTCTGCCCCTCTGTGTCTGACCTCCACATCTCCGACAGTGCTTACCCTCGGGAGGGCTCACCGCTCTGCCCCTCGGTGTCTGAGTGGCCACCTCGCCCCTTTTTCCAGCAGGACTTCCTGTAACCAGATGGCTCTGACTTCCTTTCCTCAGAGGGTCACTGTGCAGTCCTCTCATGTCTGTGAATCTCCGTGTGGGCCATGTGAGTTGTCCTGCTGTAGAACTTATGAAGAGGGGTTCTAGGAATGCTCTTCTTCCTGAGAATGATGCAGCCACATGTACAAGTGTTATTGTGCCTGAAGAGTGATCTCACAAAGGAAAAAGTCAGAGAAGGTGGCAGAGCAGCTGCTGCACACACGTGGCCACTAGCCTGTCCAGGAGTTGCCCCACATCAGAACCCTCTATGCAGATGTGAAGTGAGGCTTGGGGAAGAAGAAAAGAGTGAACATATTTAATAACTGAACATGCCTCTGTTGAGGACACACTCGGTAGTCGGTGTAAGAAGAGCAGAGGCTTGGGAAGGCCACCGGAGGGGACGAGAGACACCCGTGATGGGGAGCAGCGTGGTCATGTCCCTTGGGTTTCCCGCGACTGAGGACACGGGTGAGGGGACACGTGATGTGCGGGGGGGGGAGTGCGAGGGAGCAGACGAGACAGCAGAGGCATGTGCCTGCTGCAGGTGTTGCTTCTGGAAAGCTCTGCAGTAGGCGCTCACTGAGCAGCAGGGTGCATGCTGAGGTTCGCCTCTGAATCCTCTGGTGCTTGTTCGTCTTCTCGGTTTGCATTAGCTGAAAGGCACTGTGGTCACAGAGCCAGGTCACTGCACCCTGCCCCCAGCTTGTTCGCAGCCCATCTGGGGGGCATGCTGAGTTTCACCTATGAAGGTAAGCCATGGCAGACTGAAAACGTAGGGAGAAAAAGATTAAATTTTGGCCAAATGTCATCATAAACTGAGAAATAGACTGTCTAATCCCCTCCATTGACTGGAATAGGGTGGAAGGTGGCATTGGGAAGACTCTTGAGAGTCCCTTGGACTGCAAGGAGATCCAACCAGTCCATGCTAGAGGAGCTCAGTCCTGGTGTTCATTGGAAGGACTGATGTTGAAGCTGAAACTCCAATACTTTGGATGATGCGAAGACCTGACTTACTTGAAAAGACCCTGATGCTGGGAAAGATTGAGGGCAGGAGAAGAAGGGGACGACAGAGGATGAGATGGTCGGATGGCATCACCGACTCAATGGACATGGGTTTGGGTGGACTCTGGGAATTGCTGATAGACAGGGAGGCCTGGCGTGCTACGGTTCATGGGGTTGCAAAGAGTTGGACATGACTGAACGACTGAACTGAACTGACTGAAGTAAGGAGAAACGTAAATGTGTTAGAGGTACACACAGGGCCGAGAACAAGCAGGTGTGTCAGACTCTTCTACGAGAATTATCATACTTGTGCTTTTAGAAATTTAGGTTTGACCAAAGGACTTCAAGCTGATGATTATTATTTTAGCTTCTTTCTCAGTTTTTCTACTTGTAAAGTGAAAATAATGTGGTATATCTTATCTCACAAGGACATTGAGTTGTACTTGAAAGTAGTATTTCAAGTTCCTGGGCTTTTAAAAAACGTAAAATACATAAAGGTTCATATAATCATAGCCATTCTCTGGTTTCAACAGTGTGTTTCCTTAAATTTTTTTTTCACTTAGGATGGAGAATCAGAGGTGGCAGTGTTGTTTGTGACTTCAGCTGCTGTATGTTAAATTTGTGTGAAAGAGCGAGATGCACTGTGACCTTTTGCGTGTCTTTTATGTTGCAGTGGGGAAGGAGCTGCGTTTACACATTCTCGTCTCCATTTGCCTTCCAGGCACTCACAGCCCCAGCCTCATCCTTCAGCCTCAGGTAACGTGTCAGAAAGCCAGGAGAGTGCCGTGCGAGTCGTTAACAGGAAAGTGACTGAGAATAAGCGCAAATAAAAAATGTTGCATGTACACACCGAAGACTCTTTCTGTTTCTCTGTGCTTGCTTTTCTTAATAAGATGACCTTCATTTCTCCATGTGTATCTCCTTACCTTCTGTGAAATCTGTTAAAATGGTGTAAGTTAAAATTGTTTTACACAATGCCAGTGACTTTTCTTCTCATGCATTTGAAGGAGGAATAAGAAGGTCTTCATCTATGTCCTATGTCGACGGCTTCATAGGGACATGGCCCAAGGAGAAAAGGTAAACTGGAGACTTACTCTCAGTGTCCTCACCTTAGCGAGAAGCACTCGTTCCGCACCCCACCAACCCTGTTGCTAGCCAGATGCTGGAGTGACCATAGGTGACAGGTGTCCTGACAGCCTTACCCGCACCACCCCCCCCCGCAAGGAGGATGTGATTATGAGAAATGAGGGGAGAGGAAGTCACACTTCTCAGTGATACCAGATCCTGTCTTTTCTGGGCTTATTTAAGGGTCTTCTCTCTCTTTTTTTTTTTTTTGTAGATCGTCAGTGCATGGAGTTTCATTTGATATTTCTTTTGATAAAGAAAACACTGTGCAGAGATCCACCTCCAACCGAGGAATCACTCGTTCCATTAGTAATGAAGGACTCACCCTGAACAACAACCGTGTAGCCAAGAACATCCGGAAGAATCTGTCCTTCAAGCCGGTGAATGGAGAGGAGGACACTGGGGGCATCGCAGAGGAGCTCACGGGGGGCTCTCACGGTGACCTGACCACCTACGTGCCCCGGAGCGCAGGCGAGCTGAACTCCAGCGAGAACCCGTACTGCAGGTTCCCCAGCGGAGCACTGCACAACAGGGTGCTTCTCGACGAGCTTGGCAACCAGGTGGGGACCCCGAGCATCGAGGAAGCCTTGCAGATAATTCACGACACCGAGAAGCCCGCCCACACCCCAAGGCCGGACCAGCTTGCCAACGGCTTCTTCCTCCATAGCCAGGAGCTGAGCTTCCTGAATGCTGGCGTCCCGCGCAGTCAGTCCAGTCCTGAGAACGTAGGGGACACGCGAGGGGCCTTGAGTCCTGTCACAGACACCACGGAGGTGGACACGGGTATTCACGTGCCCTCGGAAGACATTCCAGAAACCATGGACGAGGACTCGTCCCTAAGAGACTACACCGTGAGCTTGGACTCCGACATGGATGACGCGTCCAAATTCCTGCAGGACTGCGACGTGCGGGCCGGCAGCGCCAGAGAGGCCTTGAGCCCCTGTCCCAGCACAGTCAGCACCAAGTCCCAGCCTGGGAGCAGCGCCTCCTCCAGCTCCGGGGTGAAGATGACCAGCTTTGCTGAGCAGAAGTTCCGGAAACTGAACCACACGGATGGAAAGAGCAGCGGCAGCAGCTCTCAGAAGACCACGCCGGAGGGCTCTGAGCTCAACATTCCCCACGTGGTGGCCTGGGCCCCAGCCCCTGAGGACGCGGGCCTCCCACACGGCCGGGACACCACGCAGCTGCTGGCCTCCGAGGTGGTGCACCTGAGGATGAAGCTAGAGGAGAAGCGGCGGGCCATCGAGGCCCAGAAGAAGAAGATGGAGGCCGCGTTCACCAAGCAGAGGCAGAAGATGGGGAGGACGGCCTTCCTCACCGTGGTGAAGAAGAAAGGCGAGGGGGTCTCCCCGCTGCGGGAGGAGGCGGCGGGCGCGGAGGACGAGAAGGTGTACACGGAGCGGCCACGGGAGAAGGAGCCGCAGAAGGCAAATGGGCCGAGGAGCAAGTCCCCAGCGGACCCCAAGGAGGGCGTGGAGAGCCCCGCGGGCAGGTGGCCATCAGGCCCGAGTGCGCCCGGAGACCCCGACGGGCGGTGGAGCCCGGCCGGGCCCGCAGAGGAGCCGCCGCAGGACGGCGAGCTGCTGGAGCACACGCGCTCCATCGAGAGGCTCAACGCTTCCCTGCACGCGCTGCAGCGGGAGATGCGGCGCCTGGCGCTGCAGCAGGAGGCACTAATGCACATGCGTGAGCAGCAGGCCTGGGTCATCTCCCCACCACCGCCCTCCCCACACCGGCCGGCGCGCGATGCACCTCGCCCAGCCCACCCATCCCCGCAGGCCGTGCCCAGGAAGAGTGCGTCCTTCTCTGTCAAAAATCAAAGGACTCCCAGGCCCAGCGAGCTCAAGATCACACCCCTGCACCGCACGCTAACACCCCCGCGGTCTGTGGACAGCCTCCCGCGGCTCCGGAGGTTCTCCCCGAGTCAGGTCCCCATTCAGACGCGGTCCTTCGTGTGTTTGGGTGACGATGGAGAGCCTCGGGCCCAGGAGTCCGGGCGCAAGGATGGGGCGAAGGAGGAGGAGGAGGGGTCGGCGGGGCCTCCAGAGCACGGGGAGGCCCGGCCCCTGCCCTCCGCAGCCCCCGAGGGCCCGGCCGCCTTGGCCTCGGTGGCTACACGCCCCGCACCCAGCGAGGACCCCCCAAGTCAGCCCGCAGAGCTGCCTTCCAAACCCAGTGTCCCGCCGGCTGCTCCTAAAAGTGTTAATCTGATTGAAGTCTCCCTCTCAGATTTGAAACCCCCTGAAAAGGCTGATGTATCTGTTGAAAAGTATGATGGAGAAAGTGATAAAGAACAAGTTGATGAGGACCAGAAAGTATGCTGTGGATTCTTTTTTAAGGTAAAACTATCCGCACGGCCGCAGGCCTCCTCTCTCCATGCTTCTGGTGCACGCACAGGCTTCTTGAGCAGCAGGACCTCTGTTAGGGTCTGCCCTCGTCCTGGGTTATGTTCTGGTCCGTCCCTTGTGGACTGCGGTTCTGGGCAGGCACTCTGGTTTCTGGAGCAGTCTTTCATCACCTCGTGGAACATGAGGAGACGTGCTGTTTTTGCCCCCTGCTTGTCTCTCTCTCACTTTCACCAAAGCCTTTTGAGAACCAAGTAATTCACTCTTGCAAAAGATACTGTTGCCAGTTGGTAAAAAAAGGTTATAACTTGGCATTGCATGCAAATCTGTTTTAGTTTCTCTTCTTGGTATTGACTATCTTCCCATACACTTTTTTCTAATATTTTTAAAACTGAACAGATGGAATCTTGCAAGATGAAACATTAAAAATATAGTTTGAGCAGTTGTCATTGTAATACCTCCTCTGGAAGCACTGATGAGAGTGTAGCTTATGACCCCAATCCCAAGTTTGGTGTTTGATGTAACCTACGTTTATAGGATACTGCAGCCAGCTAACCCAAGTCCTGCACAGTATCACCTTGTGATTGTAACATCTGGACACTTAACCATAGGTACTAGAACAAGGAAGGCCTAGTATTAAAGTTTTTCTCCCATCATCCTTTTTTTCATCTTTATATTTTTCTGTGTTTTCCAAACTCTTATAGGGAAGAATGTGGTTTTTTATAATCAGAAATGTGTATGTGTGTGTGCTACTCGTTTCTTTTTTTAAAAAGTTAAGAGACCAAGATATATCTTTTCTAATCCTCTGCAGTTTAGAATATAGATAGAAAGACAGCCTTCGGTGGCAACAATCTATACTTGCAGATTTTCTGGAGTCCTATTGGAGTCAGAACTAAGAATTTGGAAGTGGTTACAATCACTTTGGATCATTAAATACTGGGAATGGGTAACTTACTTTGAAGTTGGTCATAGAGAGATGGCCCTCTCGGCCGTTTTTAATGTTTAGAAACTTAAATGTGAGTTGTGCTTTTTTGTTTCCTAACTGTGTGAGACTACTGTTAATGTTTTTTAATGGACTGCTGCTGTAGACAGTAATTGATGTGTTTAATTTTGGAGGCCTTGCTGCCTCTGCTCCCGCAGGGAGAGGAGAGCAGAGGGGGTCCTCAGGTGTCCCCCGTGCCCTCCTTTCCTCACTTCTGTCTTCACCACCCGGCACTCGGGCCTCAGACCATGGCGGCAGCTTGTCACGGGCCCCCCCGCGTCTGCCTGGTCCCTTCACACTGCCTCTTGGGAGCAGAAGCCCACGGGGTCTCTGAGCGATGCCTGTCGGATAAAGTGCAGCCCCTCAGCATTGATGGGGGCCTTCCGCAGACGAATCCGCTAACCCGCAGGGCCGCCCGCTCCCCGTCGCTCCGGTCGGGGTGTCCTGTCAGGCTTGCTTCGGTCTTCCTGTGTGCTGCAGCCTTGCGTGGTTCTGGGGGTAGACGGAGGATCTTCCCCTTGGGTCTCTTGTACCCTCAGTGTTCTCATGGTGACTCTGCTGATCCGGGCTCTCCAACCACCTTGTGACTTGCTTCTGTCACGGTTTCTCTTAGACCATGAACTCCTGCACGCACTGCATCTTCTCATCCGCAGAGTGAAGGAAAGGCTGGCAGGCTGCAGCCTGTGCAGCATGTCAGACGTGGACGTGTGTGTATTTGGCCTGGCTGTTCACAGGCTGTCTTCTGACTCTCTACATCTGAGCGCATCTGTCGCTGAGTTTCTGTGCCTCTCCCTCTCCCCCAGCTGGTAGGGATCTAGAAGCCCCTTAACCTAAGGAGCCCTGTCTTTTTCACATCTTAGTGTCTTGTGTGCCCAGCACTGTGCTGGGAATGTATCAGAACCACTTCTCCAGCTGGTTACTCCTGACTTCTGAAAACTCGGGCCCTGAGAGTTTGCTTAGGAGCCAGGCAGGCTCAGGAGGCCCAGGGCCCACCTTCTAGCTAGCCCTGGGGTCAGGAGTATAATTACACCCGTCTCCTCTTCCGTGGGAGAGCCCGCAGTGCAGTGCAAAACCCAGCGAGCAAACTGTCAGAACCTCCACCTAAAAAAATCGTGCAGCAGGAATTTCATTTATGTGATACAACTTTGGGTAGCTATTTTTTTGGTGCTTTTTCTTGACTTTTCTACATTAAGTATGTATTCTAAACACAAGTTAAATGCAGTTTTAAAATGTGTGGGGAAACTCTCCACTCTATAAATTATCAGGGCCCAGAAAACTTTTTTTTTTTTTCAGTTTTATGTTGTTCTTTGCTGACTTCCTAAGTTTTGAAAACATGTAATCAAAGAAGTTTGTGTGCTTTGTTATTTGATAAAAGTATGGCCTCTTTAATTCATTTCTTCCTTCATCATTTTGGAACATGTCCATCTGTGGTGGGGTTAGAATAAGATTTTTCAGGGGGTAATTTGGATTCTCAGTTCTAAGAGTAACCACTGCATTTGGCCTCAGACATTGAAAATGAGGATATTGGTACCTTAAATGTTTCCTCCTCCTCAATGGAATTCATTCCCTAGGATGATCAAAAAGCAGAAAATGATATGGCCATGAAACGGGCAGCTTTGTTGGAGAAACGATTAAGAAGGGAGAAGGAGACCCAACTTCGGAAGCAGCAGCTGGAAGCCGAGATGGAGCACAAGAAAGAGGAGACCAGGTGGGGCCGCCGTGGCGGGAGGGGCGCCCTGCTGCCTTGTTAACCGGTGTTTGGAGGAGCCTTCGGGATGTGACACAGCTAAATCAGTGCTGGTTTGGGGTGCTTCCTAGAAGTTTATTTAAGTACTGGTTGCATGTTTTTATCCCAGGCTTGAAACATTAAAACCATTTCCCTGGGTTTCTCTCTCTCTCTCTCTCACACACACACACACACACACACACATTTTTTAAAGTAGTTATTGATGATACAGTTAATGGCCGCGGTTGTCCCAGGTGCTGACTTCGCTCGCCCCCTCACCACCTTCACGCACGCTCATCCCCACACTCCCCTCACGCACGCTCAACCCCACGCTCACCACCCCTCACCCCGCTCACGCACACTCACCGTCCCTCACCCCCCTCACGCACGCTCATCCCCTCACACACGCTCATCCCCACACCCCCCTCACGCACACTCACCCACACGCTCACCACCCCTCACCCACCTCACGCACACTCACCGTCACTCACACACACTCACCGCTGCTCACCCCCCTCACGCACGCTCACTCCCCTCACGCACGCACACCCCCCTCACGCACGCTCACCACCGCTCACTCCCCTCACGCACGCTCACCCCCCTCACGCACACTCACCCCCTCACCCCCTCACGCACGCTCACCGCCCCTCATTCCCTATGCACGCTCACCCCCCCTCACGCACACTCACCCCCTCACCCCCCTCACGCACGCTCACCCCCTCACCCCCCTCACGCACACTCACCCCCTCACCCCCCTCATGCACGCTCACCCCCTCACCCCCCTCACGCACACTCACCGCCCCTCACCCCCCTCACGCACGCTCACCGCCCCTTATCCCCTATGCACGCTCACCCCCCTCACGCACACTCACCCCCTCACCCCCTCACGCACGCTCACCGCCCCTCATTCCCTATGCACGCTCACCCCCCCTCACGCACACTCACCCCCTCACCCCCCTCACGCACGCTCACCCCCTCACCCCCCTCACGCACGCTCACCGCCCCTCATCCCCTATGCACGCTCACCCCCCCTCACGCACACTCACCCCCTCACCCCCTCACGCACACTCACCCCCTCACCCCCCTCACGCACGCTCACCCCCTCATCCCCCTCACGCACACTCACCGTCCCTCACACACACTCACCGCTGCTCACCCCCCCTCACGCACGCTCACTCCCCTCACGCACGCACACCCCCCTCACGCACGCTCACCACCGCTCACTCCCCTCACGCACACTCACCCTCCTGACGCATGCTCACTGCCCCTCACCCCCCTGACGCACACTCACCCCCTCACCCCCCCTCACGCACACTCACCCCCTCACCCCCCTCACGCACGCTCACCGCCCCTCATCCCCTACGCACGCTCACCCCCCTCACGCACGCTCACCCCCCCTCACGCACGCTCACCCCCTCACCCCCCTCACGCACGCTCACCCCCCCTCACGCACGCTCACCCCCTCACCCCCCTCACGCACGCTCACCCCCCTCACCCCCCCTCACGCACGCTCACCCCCCCCCCCCCCCCACGCACGTTCCCCGCCCCCGTGCTGTGCGCAGTAAGCAGCGCGCCCGCTTGGTCTCCAGGCGCAGGACGGAGGAGGAGCGGCAGAAGAAGGAGGACGAACGGGCGCGCCGCGAGTTCATCCGGCAGGAGTACCTGCGGCGCAAGCAGCTCAAGCTCATGGAGGACATGGACACCGTCCTCAAGCCCCGGCCTCAGGCGGCCCGGCAGAAGAAGCAGCGGCCCAAGTCCATCCACAGGGACCACCTCGAGTCCCCCAAGACGCCCGTGAAAGGCCCCCCAGGTGAGGGGCGTGTGGTGAGGTGGGGCGCCGAACTGGGCAGGAAAGCTCCCTGCGAGTGGAGCCTGTTAGGCGTGCGCGCATGTGGCCGACAGCGCCGCTGGCGTGCTCGCACCCAGCCTGGGGCTCGTCCTCACTTGGCATCTCTGGGTTGGCACTGCAGTTATTCTGAAGTTGGGAATCACTGTAGCTATTCTATTCTGAATTCTATACTGAACTACTAGTTATTTTGAGACTTAAGGAAAATAATGTAAAACTATTTAAAGAGAACTGTTAAAAAAAATTAAATAGACATAGAAAACAGTTGCCAGAGGGTAATGGGGTGGGGTAAGTGTTAGGATGCTGGGGTTAACATATACACATTACTGTGTATAAATTAGATAAACAACAAGAACGTACTGTACAGCACAGGGAACTATAATGAGAAAGAATCTGGAAAAGAAGTGTGTGTGCGTGTGTGTATAATATAACTGAATCACTTTGCTTATACTAGAAGCTAACACAGCATTGTAAATTAACTATGCCTCAATTAAAAAAGTAAAGAGAACTCCACCTTTAGTAGTAAGTGAAAATTTTTGATACCTAGTATTGGTTGAAATTAACAAATTGATTTGCTACCTGGGAGTTCAGTTCAATTGGTCAATCATGTGCGACTCTTTGTAACCCCATGGACTGCAGCACACCAGGCTTCCCTGTCCATTACCAACTCCTAGAGTTTACCCAAACTCATGTCCATTGAGTCGGTGATGCCATCCAACCATCTCATCCTCTGTCATCCCCTTCTCCCACCTTCAATCTTTTCTAGCATCAGGGTCTTTTCCAATCAGTCAGTTCTTCACATCAGGTGGCCAAAGTATTGGAGTTTTGGCTCAGTCCTTCCAATGAATACTCAGGACTGATTTCCTTTAGGATGGACTTGTTGGATCTCCTTGATGTCCAAGAGACTCTCAAGAGTCTTCTCCAATACCACAGTTCAAAAGTATCAGCTTTCTTTATAGTCCAATGCTCACATCCACACATGACTAGTGGAAAAACCATAGCTTTGACTAGATGGACCTTTGTCGGCAAAGTAATGTCTCTGCTTTTTAACATGCTGTCTAGGTTGGTCATAACTTTTCTTCCAGGGAGCAAGCGTCTTTTAATTTCATGGCTGCAGTCACCATCTGCAGTGATTTTGGAGCCCCCCAAAATAAAGTCTGTTACTGTTTCCATTGTTTCCCCATCTGTTTGCCATGAAGTGATGGGACCAGATGCCATGATCTTAGTTTTCTGAATGTTGAGTTTTAAGCCAACTTTTTCACTGTCTCCTTTGACTTTCATCAAGAGGCTCTTTAGTTCTTCTTCACTTTCTGCCATGGGGTGGTGTCATCTGCATATCTGAAGTTATTGATATTTCTCCCGGCAATCTTGATTCCAGCTTGTGCTTCATCCAGTCCAACATTACATGGGAATTAGATATTCCTAAAATATGTTTTATTCTTCTTGTTAATTTCTTTGTTCACTTTTCTTTTTGTTAGCTTTTTTTCTTTTTTTTTTAGCTTTTTTTCTTATAAGCACTCATTTATTACCACTTTGTTTTAGAATAATTAATTTTATCTTTTTTTCTCTCAGTTTTGATGAGATGTAATTGGCATATAGCACTTTGTAAGTTTAAGATGCACAGTCTCGTGATTTCATCTACATACATCATGAAGTAGTGCCCACTGTAAATATACTGAGCATCCATTATCTTGAATAGATAAAACATTTCAGGAAAAGAAAGATGCGTTTTCTCCTTGTGCTGAGAACTCCTGGGGTCCCTCTCTGGGCAGCTTTCGTGTGGCGTGTCACACAGCAGTGTTGGGGAAGTTATAGACTGAGCACCCTGCTGTCACGGCCCCAGGACTGTGCATCTGTAACTGGCAGTTGCACCTTTTGACCACCTTCATCCAGTTGCCCCTCCCCTCGCCTCTGGTAGCCACAAATCTGATCTCTTTTTCTATGAGTTTGTTTCTTGAAATACAGTTGACCTACAACACTGTGTTAGTTCCTGCTATACAACAGAGTGATTCAAAATGATCACCTGGCTTAATCCAGTTACCATCTGTCACTGCACAAAGACTTTACGTAGTGACTGACTGCACTCCCCACACCATACATGTCAGCTGCCTGACTCATTTATCTTATAACTGGAGGTTGTATCTCTCAATCTCCCTCACTTATTTCATTAGTTCTCAAAAGTAGGTTCCTTGCCCATTTTAAATAAATTATGCATATATGCATGCAAGCATGTTATGTATCTAAAAAGGAAAAGAAACTGTACAAGCTCAATTTTCATACACTGGTATTACCTAAGGAACTCTCTTCTCTAGTTGCTCCTTTTAAATTTCTAATTTTTATTCAGGATCACAAATCTGTCGTGTCTTTTCAGTCTCAAGCCTTTCTCTGGCGTCACTGAACATGGGCGATAATGAGAGCTTGCACTCAGGGAAGAGGACCCCGAGGTGAGTCACAGCACAGATGTCTTCCTGAGAACATAAATGCACCATAAATGAGAACATAAATGTTCTCAGTAAATACACCATAGTCACAGATGGTTATAAGTTTTGCTGACTAGGACAGTTCGAGTGTCTATTTAAAAAAATATATATGAAGAGGTCTGTTCCTCTTTCAGTTTTTTATCTTTTGGATTTTAGGATAATGACATCAGCAGGATAGTACCCATAACTGTTGGTCAGCCAGTGTCATACAGTCGAGCTTGAAGTGGAAAGTCCTCATGTTTAGTGCACCAGCCTCTAGGTTTCTCCCTCTTGTGACTTAGGAAAGCTCCTTTGTATGCTCTCTCTTTCTCAAGGATGTGTTGGGTTGGCCAAAAAGTTAGTTTGAGGTTTCAAACCACCTTATGGAAAAAAACAGAATGAACTTTCTGACCAACCCAGTATATGTATTAGAAGCTAAAAATCAGTATTTCATGGTCTTATGAAGCATGTTATAACGTAGCACCCATATAAAAGAAGATTCCTAGTGAAGGTCGTCAGGTCCTGTCAGTTGTCCTGTGGGAAGGTCCATCTGTCCTCCACAGGTACTCAGGGGGTTGCCCACTGAGGTCTTGGTTCTGCGGCTGTGAACGAGAAAGAGTGACCGCCATCATCTTCTTTTTAAGCCTCTGAGTTGAGTTTGGTTGGCACTCACCTATATTCTCCTGAGCCCCAAATGATTTTTCTTTATATGAGACATTACAGTGCATGTCTTATATTATTCAGATCAGAGTCTGTAGAAGGCTTCTTGTCTCCGAGCCGGTGTGGCAGCCGGAACGGTGAGAAGGACTGGGAGAACGCATCCACCACGTCGTCCGTGGCCTCAGGGACGGAGTACACAGGTGAGTGCCCGCCTATCCTCGGGAAGCAGTTGGACAGGGGCTGAGACGCGATGCAGGGTGCGCTACACACGGAAGACCAGTGGGAAACAGTGGCTAAGGCAGGCGGTCACTTTCAGGTAAGTCAGTGTCTGTGATCCGGTTCTACTCAGAGTGGTGGCGACTTGTCCCAGATGAATTCAGCTTCAAACAAAGAGCAATAGCGCTCAGCCCCCCACTTCTACCCTAAAAGCCCTGCCCGTCTCTGTGTGGTAGTCTGGGTCTGAGGCTGTCTCAGTTCGGTCTGCGGAGGTCCCTCCGCCCTACGTCAGTCATGAGCGCGGGGAACAGCCCGGCTCCTTCAAGTCCTTCCCCTCATGCTGGGCCTTCAGGGTCTGGAGCTGTGTGTCTGGAGCAAGTGCTGAGAGGCTCTGAAAGATAAAGGAATGCCTTAGGTCCAGGAGGGGCACCCGGTCTCGCTCTGTTGGGGGAGGCGTCGTTGAAGGAGAAGCACGCAGAATAACATGTGGGTGAGAACTAAAGAAATGAAGCAGGAGAGGACGTGGGAGCGGCCGTGGAGAGGTAGGTGGGAGGAGCAGAGGTGACAGGGACCACCCGCATCTGGCCGGCATCTGGGTGACCCCCGAGTGGTCCCCGAAGGCCCAGGGGAGCAGAGCTTGCTGACTCCCCGAGAGTTGTTTCCTCTCTACCCTGCAGTGCCAGCCGGCCCAGCAGCCTGTAAGGTCAGTGCAGGCCCTGGGGAGCCTGGGCCTGCGGGGCTGTCAGATACATGGTAAGGCCTCCAGGAGGTACGTGGCTGTAGGGCCATGGGTAGCTCTGAGTCAGCCGTGGTGGGAGTAATTTACTCCAGATAGAGGTAAACATGACAAATCAGGGCTAATTTTTTTCTCTACGAAGAACTGGTTTCTCTGCATACTTACTGAAGGCCTCCTGGAGGAGGTGAGTGTGAGGGAGGAGGGGCCTTCTTAGGTGTAAACGTTCCAGGAAAGTGGCAGAAAGTGCTGCCCTCCAGGCCACCTCTGGAGGCCAGAGGAGACCCGCGAGGTGTAACCCCGAAGGCAAAACCGTATCCTGACCGGAGCAGGGCAGTCAGGGGCTTTCACGTTAGAGTTTTAATCAGTGCAGGAACAATTGTGTCATTTAAACATAACTGGTATTTCTGACTTAGGAATGTTATTTTTACTGTTATTGTTATTAAATTCTTATCATAGGACCAAAGCTCTTCAAAGAACCCAGTGCAAAATCCAATAAGCACATAATACAGAATGCTTTAGCTCATTGCTGTTTGGCTGGAAAAGTAAATGAAGGTCAGAAGAAAAAAATACTGGAGGTAAGCATGTTTGCATGAAAGTTAGGTTGGGCAATGTCTTAAAATTGTAGGAGTCTTCTCTTTCAATTCAAGTAAAAGCACTCCTTAGGTACTTCTAGAATTTCAGCCACATCTGAAGGGTCTATAACTATGTTTTCATTATTAGACAGACTTAACTTTCAGATGGGATTCTGGAAAACTGCACATTTCATTCAAGACTAGGCATAGACTTAAGATGAAAATATAAAATTATAAAATATTTTCTTGCCCAGAGAAAATTTCATTTCACTCGGTCACATTTTATAAGCGTAGATTACATGATTTGCCTTTCTTAAAATGGAGCTGTGTCGCAAAGGAGATGGCCAGTGTGGGGTTGTCAGTGGTAGAGATTTAGCAGACCCTGGCAGACCTTGAAGTTCCCCTGGGATCTTAATCCCAGCACAGCCAGCAGTCCTCGGCCTGCACGCGATTCAGCCCCAGTGTGCTGGGCTTGTATTACTTGCGCCTCATGTTAGCTGTTTTAAATTACGTGTTAAGAAATGTAACACAGCTATATGAATTGTGTTTGGCAAAGTGTTTAAGGGCTTTTATTGTTGTTTTGTTTTTGTTTCTTATCCTGAAGGAAATGGAGAAGTCAGATGCCAACAACTTCCTGATCTTATTCCGGGATTCCGGCTGCCAGTTCAGGTCTCTGTACACTTACTGCCCAGAGACTGAAGAGATCAGTAAACTGACTGGGATCGGCCCTAAGTCTATCACTAAGAAGATGATCGAGGGCCTTTACAAATACAATTCTGACAGGAAACAGTTCAGCCACATACCTGCTAAAACTTTATCTGCCAGTGTTGATGCAATTACCATTCACAGCCACTTGTGGCAGGCCAAGAGGCCAGTGACGCCCAAAAAACTGTTACCCACTAAAGCATAGGAACTGGGAGATACCTGCTTCTGAACATTCATGGTAAGTTTGCACTTCATTCCTCCTGCCTATAGAAACCCTTTCTAATTGCCAACAGACTTTTATTCATTGAAACTGGACGTTCAGCCCTGTTGTCATGACAACTGGAATGTAGATCACAGTGTTGGAGTGCAGGAGACGCACCGAGGTGACAGGCCAGCTGATGGCGGGTGTCTGGCTCACAGGTGGAGGTTTGCCTGCTGCGTTTTCGATACAGCAAAGCACTGAGTTCTCACGGACACTAGTTGACGGATGGCTAGGATTACCAGTTGTGTGTTTTGTTTGTTGCTTGTCTTTTTTTTTTTCCCAACTTGTTAATGTATATGAGTGTCTTCAGATGGTTTATTTTGCTATTTTTCTGCCCTGGGAGTTTGGTCCAGGATAATGTTTGTATTTGGTTTCATGTGGAGATCACGGGAGTAGGAAACAGGCCCGCAGAGACACCTCGCGCTGTTCTTTACGTGGGGAGAAACACTAGCGCTAGTTTTCCAATAACCCTCACGCTTTAGTGGTGTCAGAGCATTTGCCGAATTACCCTGCGAAGTGCTTACAGTTCTGTATTTATTACTCACTCAAGTATTAATGTTTTTCTATGAAACAAGAGGAGTTGTTGTAAAGAGCTGCTATAGTTCACTTAAAACCACACAAGCTTAACCAAGAAGATGTTATAAGAAGTTGCTGTTAAATCAGTGCTGTTTTTACACCACTTCTGGCCAACTCAGAATAATTTAGATTGTTCTTTTAAGAAAAAGGCTTTCTGTCTCTTTTGAAACATGTCACTTTATAAGCTGGCAGAAATGAACGACACTTTGAGAGTAGTCTGAACCTGAAGATGGAAGACTTCCTGCCACACGCTCTCAAGAGGTCTTTCCGTTGTATTTATAACTGATAAAAAAGTTATATTTAGAGTTTTTAAACATGTACAAAGGGCTACGTTTTAATTTTGAAATAGCTTCACATTCTTTCACTGATACTGAGTTTTTCTTCTTTTTTTTTCCTTTTCAAGTGGGACAGCTTAGATTAAGTACACACTTGAACTCTTCCCTACGTGATCTTTGTTCCTTTAACAGTGCATACCAGAGGGTTAGTTGGGGAAAAACTTCATTCTCAGGAAATGACTTGAATGATTCTGTGACCCTGTTATGTTTCAGTGTTGTGACAACGTGTAAACTTAGAGGGAAAAGACAGTATTGTAGCATATATGAGATGCATAGTCTGTTTTCTTTAATGGGAAGTAGAGACTAAAATATATGCATTTCTCTAATTGAGCTGTTCAGAGAAATAACTAATATCTCATATGATGATGTATTCACTTGTTTTTTTAAAGAGAGTAGGAGTGAGGTGTCCCTGGACTGTGCTTCTCTCTTACTATGAGGCCTTCGGCGCCAGTGCACCTGGGCTATCAACATCTTCTCAAATGCTGTCAATATTTTACTGTAATTTATGTTCTTATATTTATGTATATTTGTTTAAACTGTAAAAAAGAAAATTTCACAGATTTTTTTTCCAGTACCTGTGCAAGATATATGTGTAGCTCAGAACTATTTGTGATCTGCTGTTTGCATGTAAAAGACCAGGATATATGTAACTCTTATATTTTAAGTGTATACATATTGTGTATATAATATATGAAGATTACAACTGAGGGATTGCACATTTTACCTTTCAGACAACCATTTCGGTCACAATTAGAAGGAAATAATTGTCAAATAGATTGACTAGTTTAAAAAAATCGTAAGTGAATCTAATAAAAATGTGGTAATAGTCAAAAGGAGAGTTAACAAGCCTTCAATATTACTAAATTTGTTCTTTTTAATCAATGGAATTTCCTTTATCAAAGCAATCTTCTTGGTGATATTACTTGGCCATTAAATTTTTTTAAACTGGATGCAAGACAATGGAGGAAGTAACTGTGTAAGACCAGACAGGACCACCCTTTATTCTCAAATCTGTGTGTGTCCAATGATGTCTGTAAGGTTTAAAGGTAGAATGTGAATATTGCCACAAAAGTTCCTTGCTCTCAGTATGATGTTTTACTTTATTCATGCAGAAAGAATATGGATATATTTAAGTCTGTGGATTTTTTTAAATTATGTTTTTAAAATTATACAAATGAGAATTATGCTATTTCATAAAGTCTGGAGATAGTCATCAACTTATTGAAACACATTGGTGCTTCTCATCATTGGAGGTCACGTTGTTGGATAATTACTCAGTTAAGTTTGCGGCCTGTCGGATTCTGCTGTGTGACAGGCGTTGGAAAGCTTTTCATTCCCCTCAGCTGCTCAGTTGTGTTATGACTGTTACAGTTCAGTTGGCTGTTTTTAAAGCCAAATCCAGCTTTTTAATTGTGGTTCCATGGAACTTGGGGCGATGGACAGTGTGTGCTTGCTGTCCACTCTGGAGCATTGCTTACAGGTTTTTTTACGATGCTGTGCTGTAAAATACTGTCATATTTGCTACTTCCTGGTGCAGTGTAGTTTTTCCCCTTTCATTTGAATAAAAGCATGGCACCAAATGTCCTTTTCTGTTTCTCGATTAAAATACGGGGTCTTGGGGCTAATATTTGAACCTGAGCAAACACATCACATGGTTTTCCTGTCTCTTAACCTCTGTTTAAATTGAACAATTTAGGTATTCATGAGAGGTGATTAATACTAGAAGTTGTTTGAATCCTGACTTAGGCAATGTTGAAAGTCTGTCGCTTTCTGTGCTTTTGCACAGTGGTGCAAAAACCTTGTGCTCATATTGCATTAATTTTGCCTGTATTTCTTCCTTTTTCTTTTTTGGTGAATTGATCATTAAAATGCCAGAATTAGCCCTCTGCACCTTTAGAAGTGAATGTCTGCTGAGCTCACCGGCCCCAGCAGCAGTGGGAGCCAGGTCTCTGCAGTTACTCCGTGAGCTTCACCTTGATTTTGTGGATTCTCCTCATTCAGACCAGAGCAGCTAAAGAAAAACCTAAAAACTGTGTGAAGGGAAAGCGTTAGTCTCTCAGTTATGTCTGACTGTGTGACCTCTGGACTGTAGTCTGCCACACTCCTCTGTCCATGGGATTCTCCAGGGAAGAATGCTGGAGTGCGGAACCATTCCCCTCTCCAGGGGATCTTCCATGGATTGAAAACCTGTGTCTCCTGCATTGCGGGCAGATTTTTTACCGCCTGAGCCACCAGGGAAGCCCACCCCTGCTTTCCAACTAGAGATAGTTTTGCCCTCAGAATAAGAACCCTGAGGTGGCTTTTCTGGTCCCACTCCCTCCGGTTGACGCACCCTGTTCCGTGAGGCCTGGGGGCAGCTTGAAATTCCAGACGCTGTCACCTGAGGGTGAGCCTCTCCCCCCCCTCTGGCCCTAGCTCCCCTCCACGCACTGGTCTCAGGGCTCCGCCCCAGGCCCTGCCTACCCGTGCACTTTCTGCCAGGCCTGCAGTCTCCACTGGCGCAGACACCTCCATACAACCTGGCCTTCCCGCCACCACCGTGCGTCTCACCCCTCGCCCAGAAGTTCACGGCCTTCCGCAGCTCAGCCAGCTCAGAAACCAGTCCTTGACCTTCTGGGGAGGCCTGCACCCCCAGCCATCAAGGCCAAGTCTGCAAGGGCCTCCCTTCCTCCTCTCCGGTTCAGCACAGAGGTTCCCGGGCTTGGAGTCCCCACACATTGCACCCCTGAGCCTCCATCCACCCCAGCCCCCTGCCCGAGCCTCCAGGCCAGGGGTCCCGATGCCCCCGCACCCCTGCACAAGCCCGGCTGAGCCCGGCCGTCACCGAAGTCCTCCCGGGCCAGCCTGCCCCGGTCACAGCAGCCGGCAGGGAAATCCCCAGTAGACGCTGTGAAACTCAGGCAAGTGTGGCATTTCAAGATAAGTCACAAAGTCGCCGTGAGAAAGATCCAACCGTCAGGACTTTCTCAGGTTCCCGGGCTCCTCACGCGCGTGTCGCGTTGGAGGGTGAGTCCGGGCGTCGCCCATTCGCCGCCGTGCTGGGTCTGCCCGCCTCCCGGCCATTCTGCACTAAAGCTTCAAGCTCCCCAGGAACGCGGGGGCAGCGGAGAGGGAGCACCCCGTCATGTTCTTCTGGTCTTTTGTTCACTGAGAGGTGGGCGTCCGCCCTGTTAGGACGGGCAGCGTGGCATGGGAAGGGCAGCGAAAGGGATGGCCCCCGCCCCGCGCCCCCTCCCAGCCACCAGGCCTGCCTCGGTGACCAGAGACGGGCTGAGATCACTGGGAAGTGACGGTGCTGGCGAGCAGCTCTCAGGGACTGAGTAATCGCCACCCAGACCTGCGACTTCCTCTCCAAACACGCCCGGGGCCCTGTCCTGCTGGGGGACTTCCCTGCCGTCCTCTCGGGTTCCTGCCGCCTCAGTCTGCAGCCCCGAAGGAGGAGATGGAATCTCGCTTTCCTTGAAAGCTGCCCTCTTCCTCTCACCCCTGACCCACCTCCCCCAGGCCCACAGTGAGGTTGCGGCCCTGAGACACTTTCACTCTGAGTCACCAAAGCGCTTCCCCCAGGGACGCTAAGACGCTCCTGCCCCTTCCCAGCCATCCGGTCTGGTCCCTGAGAGTTTCTGAAACCCTGCTCCACCCCTGCCATCCAGGGTGGGGCCGGCCCTGGGCTGGGGAGCCGCGGTGCAGGGGGACCACTGCCGGCCTTCCCCTGACACCCCTCCCTGCTCCACATGCCAGCACAGGCACGCGTGCACACAGCCACACACACACGTGCGTGCGCACGCAGGCACAGCACGCGGAGGGCTCGGGAGCGTGGTGTGTGAGGAAGCACCCCGCAGCCGGCGATGACCGTGAGTGAAGCCAGGGCTCCCGTTTCTAGCACCCTCGTTGTCCAGAGGCTGGGGACACACCCGCTCCTGCCCACCAGGGGCCCAGTCAGCTCACAGCAGAAGCCCCCTCACCCGTGGCACTCGCCAGCGAGACCCCAGCCCCAGGGACCTGCGCTGGCCCAGTCCAAAAGCCCCCAGATGGGGATGACCTCTCAGGAGGTGTCCGGGGCAATCTAAGACCGTGGCCCCCGACCCGCAGTGTGCACAGACACCCGGGGGGGTGGGGTGGGGGCAGGGCAGCTGAGCCCGCAGCTCCCCAGGGGGGCAGGGCTGCTGTGGGGTGTTCCCGGCTGTCCCACGGGGTCCCCCCGGTCAGACAGGCCTGTCCCGCCTGCTCTAAGACGGGAGCTGGAGCCCAGCTGCACATGGCGGTCAGGTGGTAAAGAGGACGTGGAAGCCAGCGCCTCCCACCAGCAAGCCCCCCTGTTTGTTCCCTGGACACACGCAGACACGGACGCAGCGTGCTGGCTGAATACACAGGGAACTTGACATCGCGGTGCAGCGGGGTTCTTAGAAATATGTTTAATGTGGTGGTGGTGGGAAACTTAGAAATCTAAAAAAAAAAAAAATTTATGTGGATTTAAAAAGAGGATACAAAATTGAAGCGGTCTCCCTGGTGGTCCAGTGGCTAAGACTCTGCACTCCCAGTGCAGGGGTCTCAGGCTCCATCCCTGGTCAGGGAACTGGATCCCATGTGCCGTGTCTAAGACCCAGTGCAGCCAAATAAATACATTTAAAAAATAAAAGTGAATGTTTTTAGATCATCAGAGAAAAAGTAACATTCTTAACTCTGAAATTGATTAAAGCAATGAATTTGACTATGAAAATGTAAAACAAAATTTTAAATAGCTAAGAAAAAAAGCCTGGGAAGGTCCTTGAACCAAATGGAATAATGATTTATTCTAAATAAATAGTTGATACAAATTATTAGAAACACAAAAGATTGTAATAGATAAACAAATGTCTGAAGGACATAATTAGTTCACATGAGAGGAATTACATCTGGAAACATTTTCAATCTTACTGTTTTCAGAGAAATGTAAATTGAAGTGAGTTACCACTTCACCTCATTACCTGTTAAAGTAGAAAGACATATTTTACCAATGAGCATCTCTAAAAGATTGTGTTGAAGCTATGCTCTCCTATGATGCCAGTTAGTGATCATTGCAAGCAATTGTATCAAGCCACAAAAAATTTCATAGTCTTTGTCCTTCACAAAGGCATTTATACTCAGAGAACAGTGTGAAAGAAGAAAAAAGTGGTAAGTGCAGTTATTTATTACAAATTTGTATAAATACAAATACTGCAAAAAAATGCTACAAACAACCTAAATGACCAAAGCAGAGGGATCGGAAGATTTAGCAACATAGGAAAATGTGGATTTGCATTACTTGAGAAAAGCAGACTATGAAACTGTGCACCTTCTGGCTACAAATACATCTCTGAAACAGGTGTGTGAGAAATATGTACGTGGAGAACATCTGAAATGCAATGTTGACAAAACAGAAAACCCAAGAGCAATGGGATCTCAGACAAATTCCTTTTTGAAAATGTCCTTCACTGGTTAGAAAGAAGGTCACCGGCATGTCGTGCTGCCAGAGGGCCAGGACGCCTTTTCTTATTCCACATTCTGCGACGTGACTAAGGCTTTCACAATGAAAAAGGCGAGAGAACTTTCAAAATTTTCCTCAAAGAGTTAAGATGATTGGACAGAAAAATTAACATTGAGGGGGAAAGTGGTAAAAGACGGGATAAAAAAAGAAAAACCTCCTAGAAGCCATGCAGTTCAAAGCCCTGGATATTTATGTATTTATACTCTCGCCTGATCTCAGCAGGCCTGTGCCAAGCACGATGACGGGGAGCCCTGTTCACCCCAGGAGCTCATGATCCTGTGGTTGGGCAAGGCTGACCCGGCTCACCAGGCCACTCGCCCTCTGGACGGCTGGAGCCCTGGGGGCCTGAGAGGGCCCTGGGGTGCGGGTGGAGAGAGGCAGGCCGTCTCCTCCCTGCGGGCTCCATGCCCGTCTGCTGGGGCCTGCACTCTCAGCTCACCAGGATGAGATGCATCAGGGGACTGGTTCCAGCCCTGTGGGGGTCCCCTGAGGGGGAGTAAAGGCTGGCATCAAGGATTTGGCCTTGGTCACTGAAGCCAGGCTGGGCATGTGGCAGGCCAGGCCCCATGGCTTCCTGCCCCCCGGGCCCCAGCAGAGAGAACACGCTGAGCGCCCAGGACCACAAGGCCACAGCCCCGGAAGCACGAGGAGCAATCTTTCTGATAAACAGCCAGGTCTGCCCCCCCAGCCCTGCTTCCACGGCCCTTTGGGTGCCCTGCCCCGCTCTTCTCGGTCCCCTGCGGCTCCTGGGCGTTCATCTCGAGCTTTCAGAACCGCACATGCCCAGGAGGCACGGCGCCTGTCCCCGGCTGCCCCTGGCGGTCCCCGCGTGGCCCCGCTCAGGACAGGCAGCACAGCTTGGGCTGGCCTTCCAGGGCCAGAGGCTGCGGGGCCTCCCAGGACGAGAGCGCCCTCCGCCAGCAGCCTGACCAGGCCTGAGAAGGCCGCCCGCTGGGTCTCCACACTGCGGGCGGGGCCTTTAGGGGAGACCCGGGCCTGGGGGCGGGCACGGGGCGGGCGGTTCAGAGGCCCCCCACCCCCGCCTCGTGCCTCACCTGCCCTTCCCGTTGGGCAGTCACCCCTGCGGGGGAGTGCGCACACACCCCACGTGCCCCTGGCGCTTTCTTCCCCCGGGTGACCCCGCAGACAGACGCGCCGTGGCTGCAGACACCTGACGTCCCTGGCACAGGGCAGGCCGACGGCCCAGGTCGACGGTCATAATGCTGCTTTCACCCTCAGAAGGGCCTGGTGTGGATTGTGAATTATTCCGGCACCCGACTCCAGTCAACACGAAACAGAACACACATGCGCCTCTCCGCGGCCCCGACCTCAGTGCCTCAGACGCAGCACCTGCGTCGTTTCCTGCCGGCCGCCCAGGCCCACCCGCCTGCTCGGCTATGAGAGCCCCGCGTGTAGGGCCTCTTGGACGGGTCCTGTCCTCGCTGTCCCCACTGCCAGTCCCCCGTGTGGCCCTCCCCATCCCCCGCACACATGACTGCTGCCCAGCGCGGGGCTCCGCTGCAGCCTCTGCATGTCCGTCCACAGCCCGGCACTGCCCTGCCCTGGGGGTGCAGGTGGGCTCTGCCCCCCGCCGCATGTCCAGGGGCCCCTCAGTCCCCTCCCACCGCCTCGTCCCGCCTCGGCTCTGCTGCTCGAACGCAGCCTGCAGCACCTTTCTGGAACCCACCTCGGGTGCCAGGAAAGACTCAGGACTTACTCCTCAATCAGAGGGGCTGCCCGCTCCTTCGAGCTCCAGGGGGACTTCGTTAACCTTTACGCCAGGATGTGTGACCTCTGGAACGCTGGCCACTGCACGTGGGACTCATGGATCTGTCTCTGGGGCCTAATTAGTGACCCTCCAAGGTCAAAACCGGCATCTCTTGTGACACCCAAAATGGGGCCTGCCACACGGAGGTGCTTGCTGTAACAGGGCTGAATGGAATAAAATGGAAGAATAAGCGTCCTTGAATTTCCAACGCCAGATGACCCAACCGCTCATCCTCTCCTGGTGAGAACGAGGCGGCGGCTCTGTGGAGGGTTCATGCCGCAGCAGCTCACGGGAGGACATGCTAAGAGGAGCTGGGGCCTGACTGGATGCCCAGCATCCTCAGGAACCCCGCCCCCATCCTCACCCTGGCCCACCGCCTCCTCCAAGGCCAGGCTACACGCCCACCCTTCTCTCTGAATCCTTTCTGCCTCTCAGTCCATGGGGGATCCTGTCCTCCTCCAAAACTCCCGATTCCTGGTTAACGACAATGCCTCTGCCGCTGAGTCCGGCTCCATCTTGCGCTCCCCGCCTAACACCCGAGTTTGGCTCCATACGTAGGTTCTGCCCAGGAAGGAAGGTGGGGAAGGGCTGGGGTCTGGACTGCAGGCTCTGCTGCCTCATTTGGACAGGCTGATCCTCCCTCTCCAGGTTCAAATCCTCCCCGTGACTCTCTGACAACCTGAGCTGGTCAGAAACGCCACCCTGGGCTAAGACCCAGCAGCTCAGGGAGCTAACACCATCGAGAGTCTGGTGTTCAGTCCCTGATTGCAGGGAGGCCCCCAGGGGCAGGCTCCCTCCACCCGCCGGCTCTGCAAAGAGACCAGGGAAATCTTGGCAGCAGGCACCTCCCTGGGGGAAATCCTCAGAGACAGACAGTAGCCTGGAGCCAGGAGGGGATGAGACAGACTGAGCCTCTGAGAGCCTCTCCTACCGGCCCTCTGGCCCCTGAGACCGGTGACGGTCTTAGTTCATGAGTAAAACCAGGGACTGATGGACGGACAGGTCAGGCTTCCACGGGAGGCAGGGCGGCGATCCAGCCCACGGACTTTTCTTCCAAAGACCCAGCTGGGAAGCCACGTCCCCCGTCCCCCGCCCTCCGCCCCACCCCGAATCTCGCCCCCTTCTCGACCCAGGCGCCTACCCCTCCCCCTGCCCCCACCCCTTCCTGCCCACCCAGTCGCCTTGGCCCGGGGCGGCAGGAAGGGAGGTGCTGGGCTGGGCACGGGCCGTGAAGAGCCACCCTCCCTCTTGGCCCTGCGTTCGCCACCGGGCGTCTCCGGCCATGCGCCCCACGGAGCCCTGGAGCCCCAGCGCGGGGACGGCGCCCTGGGACTACTACTCGGGGTCGGGCGCGCCAGACGAGCTGGAGCCGGGGGAATTGTGCGCGGCGCGGGACCTGCCCTACAGCCACACCTACATCCCCGTGCTCTACCTGGCGGCCTTCGCCGTGGGCCTGCCGGGCAACGCCTTTGTGCTGTGGCTGCTGTCCGGGACGCGAGGCCCGCGGCGGCTCGTGGACACCTTCGTGCAGCACCTGGCGGCCGCCGACCTGGGCTTCGTGCTCACGCTGCCGCTGTGGGCCGCGGCGGCCGCACAGGGCGGCCGCTGGCCCTTCGGCGAGGGCCTGTGCAAGCTCAGCAGCTTCGCGCTGGCTGGCACGCGCTGCGCGGGCGCCCTGCTACTGGCCGGTCTCAGCGTGGACCGCTACCTGGCCGTGGGCCGCCCGCTGGCCGCGCGCTCCCAGCGCTCCCGGCGCTGCGCGCTAGCCGCCTGCGCCGGCGTGTGGGCCGCGGCGCTGGCCGCCGGCCTGCCCTCGCTGGCCTTCCGGCGCCTGCGGCCGCTGCCCAGCGGGGGCCGCGGCAGCCAGTGCGGGGAGGAGCCATCGGACGCCTTCCAGGGCCTGAGCCTGCTGCTGCTGCTGCTCACCCTGGTGCTGCCCCTGGCCGTCACCGTCGTCTGCTACTGCCGCGTGTCGCGCCGCCTGCGCGGGCCGCCGCACCTGGGCCGCGCCCGGAGCCGCTCGCTGCGCATCATCTTGGCCGTCGAGGGCGCTTTCGTGGGCTCCTGGCTGCCCTTCTGCGCCCTGCGCGCCGCCTTCCACCTGGCGAGCCTGGGCGCGCTGCCGCTGCCCTGCCGCCTGCTGCTGGCGCTGCGCTGGGGCCTCACCGTCGCCACCTGCCTGGCCTTCGTCAACAGTTGCGCCAACCCGCTCATCTACCTGCTGCTCGACCGCTCGTTCCGCGCACAGCTGCGGCAGCGCGGAGCCTGCGGGCTCGCCGACCGCCCAGCGCGCGGGAGCAGCTCGGCGTCCTCGCTCTCCGGCGACGACGGCTCCCCGTTCCGGAGCCCAGCCCGCGCGGGCGACCGAGCCCAGACGGCGAGCGCCCCCTCGGCTGTCCGCCCATAGCTGCTCGGCCCGCGGGCGGCGGGCGGCACGGGGAAGCGAAGCGGGCCGCCCCCCACCGCCACCTGCCTCTCCGACCTCCCCGAGCGCAGCGGGCCGCTCTGCCGGGACCGCGGGGCCTCCCGGGGTCTCCTTCACGAGCTTTCCCAGAATCTCAGCTTCTCCAGCGTCCCCCCCCACCCCCGGCCCGGCTCCTGAGACCCGCTCTCCTCCCGCTCCGCCCAGTGGACACCTGGACGCTTTGTCTCCAGCGCAGTAAACGTCCTGGGAGATGCAGGCAACACCGACCCGGGCTCGGAAAGGGAAGTGGCCTCCCTGCTCTGCCCCCTGGGAGAGACTCCCCAGAGGCCACTCTTGTCTCGGTCGGCTCCCTTACCTTTGATTCCCTACAATCGCCGTTGCCTGCTGAGAAATACCTTCCCCAAGCCAAACTCTCTGGCCCCTCTCCAAAGAATCTGGACCTTCACGTTCTGCCGTCTTGGTGGCTGTGCTGAATCACGTGTCAGCCTCTTCGTTTTCAGCGCTCACCAAAGCGTGGGAACCACGGTGCTGTCGCCGCTTGCCCCTTCCTGCTGTCAGCGTCCTCAGGAAGCCCGTCCTGTATCTCCCCCGACTCCCAAGAAGCTGCAGGGCTCACTCTGGACTTGGGCGGGCGCTTCCCTGTGGACAGACGGTTCCAGCATCTGTCCCCGGGCTCTTGGATGCTCTGACCGGCGTGAGTTCCCCTTTCTCAATAAACACTGTTGCTGCCCTCAGCCGACAGCTGTGTCTGCCTTTACTTGAGTGGAAGGGACTGAAATGAGTGTGAGGGGGTGACTCGAACACTGGGTCAGACAAAACTCAACCCAGTAGTTGAGGTTGACCTCAAAGCGCTCGGGATTTGGTGTGTAGTCAGGCCAAGAGCAGCGGCCCTGCCATGGGCCCCCCGGGAGGGCAGCCTATCTTCTCTTCTTACTATTTTAAAGGACGTTTCCCATTTTGGAGGTTTCAGAGAGAGGGAGGGGAAAAAGATTTAAGTGCAGCCGCTAGCCAGGTGTCACTTCAAAGCAGAAGTGTGGTGTTGTGGCTGTCAAACCCTGGCAAATTTTTCCTTACTCCCTTTGGGCGCGTCCAGGACAAATGCTGAAGGGCATCCATGTTCTGAGTCTGTGACATCCTTGGAGCTTTCCAGAGGGCTTGGGAATTCAGTCTTTATACTTTTAAGCGGATTTGGCCTAAAGAAACGTCAGTCAGTGCAGAAAAGAACTCAGAAATTCTCCTGGAGAGCCCGTCTCACCAGGCCCGCTCTTGGCATGGAGTGCAGCCTTTAGAGTAGATACACACCACCCATCAGCTGCCCTCGGCGGTCACACTGGGAAGAAACACACCCAGGCCTGTCCCCCCACACCCCAAGGGAGGCAGGCCTTGCAGCCCGTGGGGTTACCGGGCCGGCAGGACTGATTCCAGACGCTTCAGTCTTGGAGAGGTCAGTGCACCACGGCCCTTCGGACCTGCCCTGTCTCTGAGACAAGAAATGACCGAGTCACATGCCGAGGCCCCAGCTCACAGCAGAGGCGCTCTCCTGGGCTGTTCCAACGAAGTCCCCATCTTAAGGCCTGCCACCTTGTTTCTCCTGATTTGCTGGTACACCGAGCTCCCCAAAGACAGGCAGAAAGGAAGCTTCTCCATCTCCGACCCCCCACCCCGCAAGTAGTTATCAAAACTCAGCATTTCCCTCCCACTGCTGGGAGACTGGAAAATGCTGGTAAGCGAAACAAAAAAGGCGGTAACAGAACTGCTCGTGTTAAATACACACCCACACACTTCAAGCCTGGAGGATATAAAATCATTGTTAGCATTGATGGTGTTGATGCAGAACATTAGGAGCCGCAGAGTCCTTTGGGGAAAAACCACCTTTTGTTCTTTTCTTTCTCCGGCACAAGTTAAGCGCCATGGGTGTCTCTCTTCTCAACTAACGGGAAGCCTTCTGTTTTCTGCCTGTATTTGTTGTTTGTCTCTCCCATCAGAACGTGAGCTTCTTAAGTCAAGGGATTGTGTCTGGGCCCCTGTGCCTGGTGGGGAAGGGGACACGCATGAAGCCCCTGTGGGGTGGTGACTGTCGTGATCTGTCGTCATGTGAAATCGTAAGAAATAGTGGGAAGGGTAAGGGTGGGGGGTGTTGCGCTGTCTATATGATCTGCAAAAGGGCAACAGCAAAGGAAGGCTGCTCCACTTCTCTCTCTGGAAATTTTCTATGAGCTTTTTAAACAGTGTTATTGATCATTTATTGGCTGAGCTGCGTCTTCATTGCTGTGCGTGGGCTGTCTCCAGTTGCGGAAAGCGGGGGCTATTCTGCCGTTGCGGTGGTGCGGTGCCCAGGCTTCTCCTGTGGCAGAGCTCAGTTCCCCTGGCTTAGTCATCAGGACACACGGGCCCCGCTGCCCCGAGGCCCGTGGGATCTTCCGGACCAGCGGTCAAACCCACGGCCCCTGCACCAGAAGGCAGACTCTCAGCCACTGGACCCCTGGAGAAGCCCCTCTAGGAGCCTTCTTTAAGGGCAGTGGACAGAGATCAGTCATGCTGCCCCAGGGCTGAGGCTAAAGGCGGACCCAGGCCTGAGCTGGTGTGATCCCAGCGGGGCCTTTCTGGGGCACCCCGGGCAGATGCCCCCAGCCTCCCTTTCTTCACATGGAGGGCAACGGTTCTGTCCGCTCTGCTCTGCTCCTCACAGGTCAAGCAAAGCCGCGTCCTCGAACGCGCTTTGTGAGCTGTGGTGTTTAGGCGACAGGAGCCCTGCCCTCGGGGTGAGCCGGTCCAGGCCCACTGCCCCACCCTTTGCCCACCGCCTGTGGCCTGCAGGGGAGATGGGGTGGAGTCTCTGGGTTTTTTTAAGGTCAACCTCTGGGCAAACACCGGGCATGTTGGCCTGTGTGATTCTGATTTGAGCTGATGACTAATTCTGGGCTTTCTTGGGCCCTTTCTCAGGGCACCGTGTGGTCGCCGGGCCCTGGGGTGAGTGATCTGGAGAGTTCACGGGAATGGCAGGGCGGGCAAAGCCCGGCTCACTGAGATGACTCAGCCCCGCACCACTCTGGACTGTGTGGGGATATCCTGCTTGTCGGAGCCATGGGGTCCAGATCCTGCCCTGCCTAGGCTGGGGTACCTGCAGGAAGTTACTGACCACTCCCTGCCCCCGCCAAGACCCCCACCTCAGTCCAACGGGGCACAGGATGGAAAGACCCCCGGGAGCCGAAAGCAGAGATGCTGGGTTGGCAGGCGGGAGGAGGAGCTGAGGAGGTGAGACCGCTCTTCCTCCTGCAGTCATCGGAGGGCTCACTGAAGGCGCCCTCGCATCTCGGGAGAGTGGGCGCTGCGTGAGACCCCTGTGTGCGTCCATCACCGGCCAGCAGGGCAAGAGGCCCGTCTTGCTCCTTCCAGGAGGGGGACGGAGAGAGCCAGGCCCGGGAAGGTGACCCTGCATCCTGCAGCTCAGCAGATGTCTGTCAAAGGTGCACAGAGGGGGCTTCCTCGGTCCCCCTGACCCGGGGGCAGGCAGGACTGATCAGTTCATTTTACGGAAGTTGGGACCCGGCTTGGAAGCGGCTCGGTCAGCGTCACAGAAAAGCACAGGGCGGCTCAAGCCTCTGTGCTCTCTCCTCCTGGCTTCCCCGGCCCTGCCACCCCTCCACGCGACACCCAGCTCACGCCGCTGGACACCTAGGCCCGGCCTTCCCCTTAGAAAGTGTAAGCTTCCCCCTGATTTTTTAAGTAATGCAGGTTCTTTGTTTTTTGAAAAAAGAAATCATAAGAAAATATAAAGGAAAAATATTGAAAACACTCAAATGTAACCACCTTTATTTAACAAGCCCTTGAAGTTTTTTTCAATTTTTCACTCTTTTAAGTAATTCTGTGATGAACATTCTTTTGTGTGTGTGTGTGATGAACGTTCTTGTACAGAAATCTTTATTTTCATTTCTGATTCTTTCTTCAGAACAAACTCCTAGCAGTGAGACTATTCATCAGATGTTATGAACAATTTGAGACTTTAGTGCAGTGTGCCAAATTGTGGAAAAAAATACATTCTCTCTGGAGGCTTGTGGGTGCCCGTTCACCACACCCTTAACAAACAACAGGCATTATTATCGTAAAAAAAAGTATTTGCCAATTTGGTGTCTTCCCAAGTTTAAAAAAAAACCACAATATGACCATCTTATTATATTCTTTCAAAGACCTTTGTTATACAAAGTATCATTACAATATTGCTCTGAAGTAGGTGTTAAAATAATGGCTAATATTCCATGAGAGCTTATTACGGGAGAGGGGCTGAGGGTTTTACATCTCCTAATCACCCTCCCAGCCACTTTATGGCAGGTATAGTAGCATTCTGCCTGTTCACCAGACGAAAACACCGAGGCGTGGAAAGCTCGGGGAACTTGCCTTGAACACTTGGATCATTACCCCCATTTTACAGATGGGAACCCAGAGGCCAAGGTTTCCTGACTCGCCAAAGCCCCGCACAGCGTAGGACTTCAGAGCCTCACACCCTGGGCCACAGCCCGTGCCCGCGCCCGCCTCCTCTGACTTGCTAGCTTGGCCTCCCTGCTTCTCACGCGTTAGCGCTGAACCAGAGCGTGCCCAGGGGGGAAGGCCACCCCCGAGACCTGCTGCTTTTCTCAGAAGGTCAGTGCATAGGTTAACTTCCCGCGTCAGCTTGGCTGGGCCACTGGGCACCTAGTCACAGGCTGTTCGGGTGTTTTGGGTGACAGTTGAATCGAAGACCGAGAAGAGCGGACAGCCCTCCACCAGGAGGCCTCCCCGACCGGCGGCGGACGTGGGACACCAGGCCTCTCCTGCTTCCAGCCAGAAGGGGACGGGGACGGGGGCCTCCGGGGCCTCCAGCGCGCCGCGTGCAGGCCCTGGGGGCCTCCCGGCCTCTGTGGCCGCGTGGGCAGTTTCTTATAATAAGCGTCTATGTGTATATCCTGTTTCTCTGAGCAACGCAAACCAATACAACCAACTCCCCACCCCCCGACAGGAGATAGTTTGGGAGGCCGACTAAAAGGGGGAGTAGGCCTTGCCCCAGGTGTGCCGAGGTCAGCGTCAGGCCTGGGAGAGGCAGGTGCTGAAGCCCACCCCGGCCCTGGCTGCCTGGGTCTCTCCCGCTGGGGGTTGGGGGGGTGGTGAAGGTGCTCGGCTTTGCCTACAGAGCAGCTGCAAGTCTGCGAGGCTGTGGTTTGCCCCAGGAAGACGTGCCAGACGGGGGGGAGGTGATTAATCCGCTGCCTCGCTCTGAGAATGACTGTCTTTGGTGTACACACTGCTGTCTCCCCTCTGATCTCGCGGCGCCCAAACACCCTAGAGCAAGTTGCTCGCACCCAGGCTGTGCCCACAAGGTCACAGGGCCGGGAGGGTTGCAGGCTCAACCCTGTCATCTTTTCAAAGTTCCGGTTGTTACAGGAGCTGTTGCCTCAGACCTTCCCAGGCCTGTGAGCCCCTGAAGAGAGGCGAGGGCCCGTGCAGGGTGACAGCCGGCCGGGGCCCTGCAGCCGGGCCGTGTGCGCTCATGGCCTCCCTGCCCCCGGCCTGCCTCCCTGTGGCCCCGGGTCTGCTGCCATGACGAGGGGCTCTGCCTTCCCTTCCCCAGGAGGTGCCACAAGCCGTGCCCTCAGCCGCCACAAGGACGTCCTCACGGCCGTTTGGGCCAGGGCACCCCGTGTACGAGCGGGGATCCGCAGGCGACCGCGCCGGTCCGTGTGTGCCGCCCGCGGGCATCCCCTCCTCCTGCTTCAGGGCTGGTTTGGGTGGGGGTCCCGAGGCCACCCCAGCCGGCCCTCCTCGGGGCTTCCCACCCTCAGGCCGTGGGTGACCCATCTCACCCTCCTGCTCCTTCTAATGGGAAACCCCCCCACCTCCTCCAGCAGCAGCAGTTTCGAGAACAAAGCGCTTTGAAAAGAGGTACAACAGCCCCGTAACCAAGCGCTCGTCAGAGTTATCAGCGTTTTATTATTTTTTTCCCCAAAATTTAAACTCTATTAGATAACTGCTAACCAAGAAAAGTTCAAGAAAAGATAGTTAAGACTTAATATGCCTTCATCTGCTTCTCTTCCTTTTTTCAAACAGTTTATTGTTTCAGGAACTTTATCTATTGTAGCCAGGAAAAAAAAAAAACCGTAAAAACACTGGTAACTGGAAGGTCCTCCTCCTCCTTTACGATCGCAGGAGTAGAAATAAGTCATCCATTAATTGTAGGACAGTGGAGGCTGATGAATCTGCCTGATCTCATTTATTGCACAAGAAAATCAGTTTCCTTTTCTCAAGCTATGTAGGTGGTAGATTGTCAGAAAATCAAATAGACTGCGAATCTGAATTATTATTATTTTAGACCCGAGGTACTGCCGGGGAAACACCATGGGTTGCTCCATGGGTTCAGGCTCAGTCTCCTCCTCACCGCCTTTGTCCTTCACCTCTTTTGCCGTCCAGAGCTTCCTATCACAAAGGGAGTGGGTTAGACGTGCTCATCTGTGAAGGGCAGCATGACCCAGCACAAGCACTGATTGCTTGCTGTAATTATTGGGAGCAAAAAAACCAAGAAAGACATTCATTAGATGGAAGTGAGTCATACCACCGTTTGGGATTTCTCTTCTCAAAATCACTGATTCAACACGTTTTTATTTTGCGTTTACCATGTGCCGACCTGTGTGCAAGACCATGGGACTACAGAAATGAAAGACTCCTACCCCTCCTCAGGACAAGCTAATACCTTGAGTCTCCACCCCACACACAGAAAGATAAGAGCTGTAAACTCACGGGCGTCAGAGGGACATAAACCACGAGGACCTTCAATTTGGCTACAGCTCTGTTTTTCTTTTTTCTTGAAACTGAAAATCACACGAGGCAGCCTGTCCTGTGACCGAGTCACTTTTGTACATCACTGATTTCCAGGCGTCAGTCAGTCACAGGGACCCTCTGGGGCAAGCCTGCCAGCAGACCCAGGAGGTGAGGTCCCTGAGACCTGGAGTGTCCTGCGGAGGCCAGGGCAGCCCCTGCGGTGGGACGGACAGAGGGCCTCCCCACGGCCACCGCTCTGCCGAGGCGCTGCGTCCACTGCTGGAAGGCTGGGCAGCTGCGGGCAAGACCCCAGCCCGGGGGGGCTTGGGTGAGGGGACCACTCTGGTCCCTGTCAGCCTACAGAGTCCACAATCCCATGATTGGGAGCCCAGCATGTTCTTCAGAGACTTACCTAGCTTTTGCTCTTAAAAAATTTATTTAAATATATATTTATTACATGTATGATATATATTTACTTATATATATTATAATATATAAATTTTAATAAAATGCACCCAGCAAAGGGTGGAAGCATATATCCATCAATTAAAAATTAATGTCAAGGCAAAACTATCCAGATACACACAGACCCAACCATATCAGCCACTGCTGTGAACAAGCCCACCTACAGGAGGCCAAAGAAAGACAAACAACTTACGAGGGATCTTCAAGTAAAGTTCATGCCTCAGCCGCTTCACAAATGCTCTCTGATACTCAAGAAGCTGTTTCTCTGGGTCCCACGCCAGGAGATCACATGCACCCCGTGTTCTCAGACTTGTGCCAGGAAAGACGAGTCAGCAGAGCCTGCTAGGGGCACCCCACTGTATGATGCAAACAGGGAGATTATTGTAAAATACAACAAACCAGTGTGGATGTCCTCTGGGGGTTTTCATGTGTCAGTCTGCATGGGGAAATGGATCGCTAAGAAGGCAATTGCTCCCATCGTATGAAGTTTATCACTTTTTAAGAAAAAAAATTATTTTAAATAGACGTAGGAAATCTCCTTTTGCAGGCGCTAATGAAATAACACGCAGACCACAATGGTGGGCGTTGTTAGATGGACAGATACTGAAGCCGTGTGGTGGAAGTTGATAGGAGCTGGAGGATGGCTGGGTGCCCCTAGGCCGCCTCACTGTGAGATTATCTCCCAGTGATGAGGGGGAAACAGAGTGGATGGTGGAGGACTGCTGTCACCGGAACTCCCTGGTCAGCTCCACCTATAAGGTGTTCTCACCCAAAACAGAAGCGAGCATCCTAGTCAAGGCTAAACTTGCGCGTTGCAGGAAACGCGGGGTTAGGAGCAAGTTAAATGCAACACAAGGAGGCAGCAGATGAAGCGCCAGATGTGGGGCCCGTTTCAAAACGCCACTGACATGATTAAGCAAAAACTCAGGGTGGGGAAGCGACCCTCACAAGCTTAAAAGAGCAGAATGCAACGTGCAGGCCTTGCTGGATCTCCACACAAGCAGACCGACTTTAAAAAACAGTGTTGGGGCAACTGGAGGACTCCGAATGGACGTGGTATTGGGCGACACTAGGAAGCAACTGTGTTAACAGTCATGTGATTATATAAGAAAACGGTCCGTTTTTTTTTTTTCTGAGATGCACTCTGAAACATTTATAAGTGATAAGTTACTAAGCCTGGGATTTTGTTTAAAATATTTCACTAAAGAAAAAATAGACTGTGGAGATAGGGGTCAATGCCAGTAATTACTAAGTCTAGGTGATGGATAAACGGGAGTCCATTGTGTTATTATTAGGCTCTGCTTTACTAACATTGGGAAACTTTCACATTAAGCTTTGAGCTACTTTAATGCTTGGAAACTGCACAGGCACAGAGCACATTTCACAGCCCAAGCTCACGCAGACCTGGCGAAGCTCAGGTGCTCTGTCCCCTCACCCCCACCCTGCTGCCCTCTGGACGCATAGTCACTGCTTCTCACTTCTCATCCATTCCTGCTGGAAACTCCAGCTCCGCACAGTGGGTGCGAATGTGGAAATCGCTCACTTCTCAGCATCTAAGACGAGAGTGACGTATTTGAGGTTTCTTGAACAAACTGGGCAGCCTCTCCCTCTGATTTCAGCCTGGGGGCTTCTGCTTATCACGTGTCAAGTCACCAGTGCCCAGTAGCCTATCTGGGGCCTCTCCGCCACTCTTCGGAACCCACAACCCCCACCCCCCAGAGCGATCAGAGCACCCAGAACACTTTGGTGAACGTATTTATGAACAAATCGATGGAGATGCGTTGACCTGCTCGCCCAGTCATAGAGGGTGGGGGCAGGAGCGGCTGCTACCAGCAGCTCCTGGGGCTGGTCTGGGGCGGGAGGGCAAAGGTCACATGTAGCCACCTTTATGAACCATTTCAACAGCATCTGACCTCAATTTAAACCAACCTCCCTTCAAAACACTCCTTTCCCTTCCTTTCTCATCACTGAGTAGTTTGAGAGACGCTGAAGGAGTGAGGCACCAGTTTCTTTTCAGTTAACCGGTGCCAAGGCCACAAACTGGTGGCCTGGTCATTGGAGGAGGCTTGCCTTTTGAAGCCTGGAGCTGCTAAACCAGAGGAAGTGAAACCTGGTCACCAGTAAACAGGTTTGGAACATGAAAACGCAATTATCGTGCAGAAATATTATTAGCTTTTTCCTGAGACTCGAGTGTGAGAAAGAAAAACTTTTTTTTTTTAAAGATAAGAATGTTGAGAAAACATCTTTTTTTTTGAGAAAACATCTTTTAACGAATCACCACCTTCTATTGGGAGCTTACTGTGAGCAGAGCATGTTTTATCCGCATGATTTCTTCACCCTCATCACTGTCACATGAGTGATCCCATCACCCCCATTTAACAGAGCAAGAAACTGAGGCTGTTTGACTCCAGAACACAGGTATTTCAGCACTAGGCTCCTGCCAGGTCAAGTGATGAAAAGGGCCTGGGGGTGGGGGATCCAGTCTATTTTAGAGGCACCTCCAGTCCAGACCTTTGAGAAGGGCGGGGTCCCTGGAGTGCTGGCGACATCCAGCCCTGGGGAGAGGCGCAGTTCCCCACCCCCCCGCCCCCGCCCACTGCCCAGTCCTCAGCCTTTTGCTGGGGCAGCACCCGGAGGCCCTGTGGCCGGGGTCTGCCCCCAGGGCCTGGTCCCCACGTCCCCCACCCACATCCGAGAGGAATCGGAAGGGACCAGGCAGACAGTGTCTACCAGCCCCCGGCTGACAGGCAGACAGCGCTCCCGGTGCAGACCGGGAGGCACGTGGGGAGCTCGGCGGCGCAGAGTGCCCTCTGGACCCGCCCCAGGGCCCGGCGTCCTCGGGGCTGGACGCTGGTCTCCAGTGCAAAGACCTCCACGACGCCCGCCTCCCCTGCGCTGCTATTTAGCTTTATGTCTGTGATTGTCTTACTTTTAACACAATGCACTCTTTTCTTCGAGTTCCCAGTGCTCTCGGGTCTCTAGAAAGGAGAGAGGGGCTTGCCAGGGCGGCGGGAAAGGCTGGACACGTGGTCCCCGCGCGGGTGCAGGGGCGGCGGGGGACGGGGTCCCGGGGGCGGGGAGGGAGGCTGAGCCCGCGCGGGGTCGGGGCGCCGGGACCGGCAGGCGCTCCATCGGGACCGGCAAGCGCTCCATCCGGACCGGCAGGCGCTCCATCCGCTCCGTCCGCGGCGCACGGAGGGAGGCCGGGAACCGTCCGCCCTGGTGGTCGCGGCGGGCGGAGCGGGGCCGAGGCGGTGCTCAGACCACGCGGTGCGGATGTAGGGCCCGGAGAGGAAGGGGGACGGGAGACGGCGCGGGGATGAGCGGGGAGAGGGGCCGGTGGGCGGGCGGGGCCCGGACCCGGAGCGGGGGTCCGCACACGGGGCGGTGGGCTCCCTCCCCGCCCCGCCCTCCCAGCGGCTCTGCCTCGCGTCCGGCCCCGGATCGGTTCCCGTCCCTTGAGAACAAGAGGAATGAAGCCCCCGGGCTCGACCCCCAAGAGGGTTTTGTGCGGAGTCACTCACCAGCGAGGGTTCCGGCTTCTGGCGACAAAGGCGGCGGCCCGAGCGGCGCCCCCG